ACGTTGCCCGGCTGTTGAAGGATGTGGAGCGGCACGAATTCCGCTGAGCGGGTGTGCGTCTGAGGGCGACGCCCTGCGGCATGCCGGTGAAGGCGTGGTCGACAGGAAGTCGAGTGAAGATGAGCGTTGCCCGGATCATGGATGTGGAGCGGCACGAATTCCGCTGAGCGGGTGTGCGTCTGATGGCGACGCCCTGTTGTATTCAAGTGAAGCCAAGGTCGGCATGAAGTCGAGTGCAATGGACGTTGCCCGGCTGTTGAAGGATGTGGGGCGGCACTAATTCCGCTGAGCGTACGTGCGTCTGAGGGCGACGCCCTGCTGTATTCAAGTGAAGCCAAGGTCGGCATGAAGTCGAGTGCAATGGACGTTGCCCGGCTGTTGAAGGATGTGGAGCGGCACGAATTCCGCTGAGCGGGTGTGCGTCTGAGGGCGACGCCCTGCGGCATGCCGGTGAAGGCGTGGTCGACAGGAAGTCGAGTGAAGATGAGCGTTGCCCGGATCATGGATGTGGAGCGGCACGAATTCCGCTGAGCGGGTGTGCGTCTGATGGCGACGCCCTGTTGTATTCAAGTGAAGCCAAGGTCGGCATGAAGTCGAGTGCAATGGACGTTGCCCGGCTGTTGAAGGATGTGGGGCGGCACTAATTCCGCTGAGCGTACGTGCGTCTGAGGGCGACGCCCTGCTGTATTCAAGTGAAGCCAAGGTCGGCATGAAGTCGAGTGCAATGGACGTTGCCCGGCTGTTGAAGGGTGTGGAGCGGCACGAATTCCGCTGAGCGGGTGTGCGTCTGAGGGCGACGCCCTGCTGCATGCCGGTGAAGGCGTTGTCGCGACAGGAAGTCGAGTGAAGATGAGCGTTGCCCGGATCATGGATGTGGAGCGGCACGAATTCCGCTGAGCGGGTGTGCGTCTGAGGGCGACGCCCTGTTGTATTCAAGTGATGCCAAGGTCGGCATGAAGCTGAGGAGCAATGGGCGAGGCCCGGCTGTTGAAGCTTGTGGGGCGGCACTAATTCGGCTGAGCGGGTGTGCGTCTGATGGCGACGCTCTGCTGCGTGCCAGCGACGGCGCGGTCGGCACGATGCCGAAGGACAAGGGACTTTACCTGGATGAAGATCGTGGAGTGACACGTAATCCACTGAGTGGAGGATGCGGATCGTGCAGCTCTTTGCTGAGTGTCGGTAAAGAAACTGGAGCTCTTCTGGAGCTGAACGAGGTGGTGACACCTGGCGTCAAGAAGCACGCGGAATCACGGAGCTCTTCAGGGCGGACGGTGTCCATCAAGAGGAGGCAGCGCTGTAAGGCGCTGGCTGCGCGATGCAAGCTGTCTACAATCTCACGAGTCGAGAAGGGCGTGTCGAGCCGCGAGGCTCCACGCGAGAGCGAGCAGCTCTCCACACTCGTGAATGGAGTGGTGGGCGACGTTGATGGAGGCATTAATCTCGACGGCTTGCCCTCACTGTCTGCTCTCCTAGTGCTGGACGAGATGTCCTTGGCCGAGTTCGGCGAAGCCTTGAAGGCTGGAGACTTGGCTGAGGTGGTGGTCATAAGACCTGAAGAAGAGTTGAACTCGTCCTCGCTTCTGGATGAAGCTGTCCTGGAAGACACCAAGAAGGCGCTGAATGCGCGGAGTGGATCAGAGATCCTGAAGGACCCGTCGGATCCCTTGTATCAAGTGGTAAAGGATTACCAGGACGTGGTCTCGAAGGAGTCTCCCTCGGGGCTACCTCCGGATCGAGGTGTTCGACACGAGATCGATCTCGTTCCGGGAACGAAGTACTGCGTGACGAGGCAGTGGCCCTTGCCGAAGGAGCAGTGTGACTCTACGCCGACGTTCTGTGTCAGAAAGCGAAATGGCAAGTGGCGTATCGTGCACGTTTTCAACAAGCTGAATGCCGCTACCGTTCCGGCGCAGACGCCGATTCCTCGGAAGGATGTTCTGCAGAACAACATGGCCGGATGTACGATGTACAGTGCGCTCGAATTGGTCGATGGATATTACCAGTTGCTCATGAGGACGAGCGACATTCCTCTCACTGCGGTGAGTACTCCGCGCGGCATGCTCTGGGAGTGGTTGGTAATGCCCCAAGGGCTGTCGAACGCGCCAGCGACGTTTAATCGTCTTGTGACGCAGCTCTGGAGGCCCCATCGGGCATACGCGCAAACGTACTTCGATGACATCTTTGTCCACAGTCGTGCGGAGCACGGGAAGACTGATATGGAGAACCACATGGAGCACTTGCGTGCTGTGCTCGAGTGCATGCGTCAAACAAGTTGTTCGCCAACATTGACAAATGCATCTTCGGAGCGGAAGAGATCAACTTCTTAGGGTGCTTCATCGGGAAACGTGGCCTCAGGGCCGACCCGGTCAAGGTCAAGGCCATTGTTGACTGGCCGGTTCCCAAGAACCAGAAGGTTCTTCGCAAGAGACTTGGCTTGGCAAACCACTTGCACAAGTACAGCGAGAACTACGCTGAGATGGCTCGGCCACTCTCCAATCTCCTGAAGAAGGATGCGGAGTGGTGTTGGGACACCGATCATCAAGATGCGTTCATGGCAATTCAGGACAGTCTCCTTCATGCGCCTATTCTGGCTCTGCGAGACCCCGCTCGTCCGTTTAGTGTCGTCTGTGACGCCTCGGGCTTTGCCATCGGTTACGCACTGCTGCAAGCAGACGCCGAGGGGCGCGAGCGCGTGTTGGCGTTCGAATCTCGCCAGTTGAAGGCTGCGGAAAAGAACTATCCTGTCCATGACAAGGAGCTACTTGCGATGAAGTATGCGCTCGTTAAGTTCAGGGTGCACCTGTTTGGCTCTCAGCCGTTCGTGGTTTACACGGATCATGTGTCGTTACGAGCTGCGACTCAGCGCCTCATCTCTCGCAAAGGATGGCCCGCCGGCTGTCCTTCTTCGCGGAGTATAACTTCGAGGTGAAGTACAAGCCTGGCTGGGAGAATGTCCTTGCGGACGCGCTGTCGCGCAGGCCGGATTATGCGCAGCCTCATGTAACGGCCGTGACTTCGTCATTACCGGATCTGATCCGAACGGCTTATGCCAAGGACGACACTTGTGTCGCGTTGCTGAAGGCTCTGGGGAGCAAGGAGTTTCAAAACTCGGACATGGAATTGTCAGCGTGGCTGAGCGCGCGCCTACACCGTTATTCGCTCGATGGAGGCACGTTGTCCTACAACGCCGGCCCCGAGGATACGCCCCGCGTGGTCATCCCTCATGATGAGGATCTGAAGTACCGCATCCTCTATGAGGCACACGACACGCCGCTGGCCGGCCATCTTGGCTGTGAGAAGACCTGCAGCTCGGTGAGCACCCACTACCGGTGGCCGGAGATGTACAAGTGGACGAGCACTTATGTGCGCACGTGCGAGACGTGTCAGCGAGTGAAGTCATCACCTTATGCTGCAGCGCCGTTGGCGAGTTTGCCTATCCCTTCGGGCTGTTAGCAATCCATGAGTATGGACTTTGTGTTTGGCCTGCCGGCGGACGCGGCGGGCAACACTGGAGTCGTGGTCTTCGTGGACCGACTGAGCAAGATGGCTCACATTGCGGCTGTGCCGGACACAAGCGATGGTAAAGGTACAGCAACGCTGTTCTTGGACCGAGTGTTTCGACAACACGGACTCCCTGAGTCAATTGCCTCGGACCGAGACCCCCGCTTCACGGGCAACTTCTGGAGCGCTGTCTTTGCGGTGCTTGGAACCAAGATGGATATGTCCACGGCGAACCATCCGCAGACCGATGGTCAGACAGAACGCGTGAATCGCGTCGTCGAGGACGTGCTCCACAGCATTTGCGCCGAGACGCCGAAGCGTTGGATCGCCATGCTGCCACTCGTTGAGTTTGCGTTGAACAACGCCGTCCACGCCTCGACAGGCTACACGCCGTTCCACGTGAACAGCTTGTCTCATCCCCGCGTCCCGCTGACGCTGCCAAGTGGTGGCCTCGGGCTTGGTGGGGGAGGAGAAGCCGATCGGCTAGCCGATGTCAGCCCGGCTACTGTTCGTAAACAGGTTGACGCTTTCTTGCCAACGCGTCTGAGTGTCTTACGGCATGTGCGTGACGCAATGGCTGACAGCCAAGACAAGTATGCAGATGCCAGGGGCAGAGGCAACGTTGAAAGTTATGAGGTCGGGGACCTGGTGCTGCTTAATGCTAAGAGCCTACCTACACATGCAGTGTCAGCCGTCTTCATGACGAAGTTGCGCCCGCGCTTCATCGGACCTTTCAAGGTTGTGGACAAGAAGGGCCTTGCGTACACGCTCAATCTTCCGAAGAAGGTGCGGACGCACCCCGTCTTCTACGTGGGCTTGCTCAAGCCGTACCAGGACCGGATGCAGGTGCAGATGGAAGCACCGAGGGTGGCGAGGTCACAGGCGCGGAGGTCGCAGGCGTCGAAGACACGACCATCAACGCGGGCACAGCAGGAGCCGCAGGCACAGGAAGCGCAGCAGGCGGGGTCTGCATGCGGGCCAGGAGGTGGAGCTGACCCTGAATCACAGCCTGGTTATGCTGTAACTCCGCGAACCCTCGAGTGTGTCGCTCTTCGCGATCGCGAAAGTAGTTCATCCACCCGTTCAGGCGAACGAAGTCGTCCTCCAAGGTCTCAAGCCGGTCCTAGACCGCCCGAGGCACCCCAAGCTACTCCACCCGCTCAGCGAGCCTGTCGAGATCAGTCGCACAACGTGCCAGACGCGCGTCAATGTCGTGGACGTGATCCCGAAGGCGATCAGCCTGTTGCTGAGTCTCGTGCAACTCGTCAAACGTTGCGAGACGTGTTGGCGCGTCCTCCGCCGGCTCTGCTCGATGAGCATGGGAATCTGCATTACCATGTGGAGCGCCTCCTGGCGAAGCGGCGGTACCGGGGTCAAAACCAATATCTGGTGAAATGGCGAGGGTACCCTCACTCCGAGAACTCATGGGAGTTTGAGGTGTCCCTCAACCAGGATTGCTGGACGCTTTTGATCAGCTTGATCACCAGCGCTCCGAGGGCTCAAGGCCGGCATGCCGGCCGTCCCGCGCTTTCCGGCAATAAGCTGGGGAGCTGCTGGTCAGCCACATTGCTCCTAGGCTGACCCTGAGCTACAGCGCTCAATCCCTCGCGGGAAGGAGCGGCTGGAGTGCTCGAAGGAGCGAAGCGCGCAGCGCTAAACTGGGTCTGCGGCTGGGTGATTGCCGCAAGGCTGCGCTTGGCTCGGACCTTCACAAAGTCGAAGCGGAGCTTGCATTCAATGCGAACATCCACTTCGCTGAAGCTGGCTCTGAGAGCTTCCATGGAGCTGAGCTTCCGGCTGTGCTCGGCCCAGAACTCGAACAGAACATCGTACTTGATCGAGTCTTCCCCCGGGCCAAGTACCACCGGGTACGTCCGCGTGGCGGGCACGGACTTCAGTTGCATCTACAGCCTGAACCGCTCGCGATACTCCGCTACAATCGTCGACTGTGGAATAAGGAGTCGCTTTCGCAGAGACGTACGCAGTGCGAGCTCCTCCGGAGTACGGGCCGCGGGCCCAATGGCGTGGAGCGCTAGGGCCTGCTGGAACGCCAGGCGACACGCCTCAGCGGGGTCGCGAGGCCGGAAGCCGTAATCAGCAGCGCTGGGGCTCACCTGAGGCCGCAGCTCAGGGCGCTGGGAGCGCATGAGAGCCATCTGCGCTGCAACCTGCTCGGACTGAGCTTTGTCCAAAGGGTTGGAGATGACGGGGCCCAGAGGCACGTCCTCACCACGAGGCGGCGAATACCGTGGCTCAGTGAGCGCGCGCAGCTCGTAGAGACCGGAGGAGCGTTCAGGGAACAGGTTAGGCTCCTCCCTCGACGGCGCAGCGCGCTCTGCAGGTTGACGGCTCGGCGACCGCGCAGGAGACGTATGTTCACGATTCGATTGGTTCCGTAGAGAGGCCGAACCACTTCAAGAACTAACATGGCGCCCGAACTTTGAGCGGCATGCGATACCGCACTCACCGAGGGCAACATCCCGCCCCAGCTCAATATATTTCCCCCCAGTACACTTGAGCAAATTCAAGAGGGGCCGAATGCGCGCGGCAGGATCTGTCTGAGCAGATGGAGGCGCAGCCCGGAAGCAAAACACTTTTCGAAGCAGCTTGAAACGCCTCAGTGGCATGACTTTCTCCAACCCCGACGAGGTTTGGTTGCCCAGTATTATATCCTCTGGTTGCGGCCCCCAGTAGTTAGAGTATTCACCTCTGTCCGTGATCGTCATGAAAAATAGAATTCCAATGAACTTCATCAGCTCCACCAATGTCACAGGATGTACCAGGTTGATGCCCTTGATCTTTGCGTACGCATTGTACTCATTGACCACTTGCTGCCAAAAGTACAGTGGTATGTACGCCAGAAAACTCGATGACGCAGAATGAGTAAACAAGTGCGTATATTCAGGCCGCACACGAGTTACATTTGCTTCATTTTTCCTGTCGTACAAGTCGTGGGGGGTTTTCATCTCAACGCGGGGGGCGAACCGCATACATTTTACAGCCTCAACCTCTTTCAATGTGGTCGGGAGTGGCGGATCGGGGTCAAACTCCACGGGTCCCTCCTCTGCCTCTACAAGGTCTTCTAGAGCAACATCTCTTGGGAGGTCTTCATCGTCGTGTGGGGTTGTCAATGCTTCCCAGGCTGGCTTCGATGAAGTTTGCGTGAGCAACCTATAATATTCGATTCCTTGTTGTAGAACTCAAAGCGGAACCCAGTGCGAGTGCTTCTGAAATATGGTGTCTAACCAACGCACTACGTACAGAACAGCTTGGTTTTGGACAGTCCGTCGGCACACACGACCCACAATATAAGCTGAACCCACAAGACTGAACGTCGACTTCAACTTTTTTGTCAAAAGCCACTTTGATTTTGAAGGTGTGTACGCGATGAGGTTGCCGATGTAGAGCTCCGGGCTTGCTGGTGGTGCAACGGAATTTCTGGAACTTATAGCGGCTTGCGAGCTTAGTATCCGTGACTCAACTTCGTTCATCCCCAAACCCAAGTAAGACTTAGAACTGACGCTGCCATCAATATCACCATTTGCCTCATCGGCTGAAGCATGACTTTGCTCTGCGATCCTCGCCACCGTGCCTTCCCCCACCTCCTGGCCGCGTCCACATCCAGATCGACCACCGCGACCGCGTCCAGCGCTCCGACCGCGACCACGACCACGACCCGAACGAGCTGTAACACCTCTCTCCCCGCGACCAGTGGCATCCACGCCCACAGCAACGACTCGAATAGGCTCCTCAACCCGTACTTCAGGTGTCCGTTCGCTACCACATCCACCGACCGAATGAGCAATCCTCGCTGCTTCAGCAGCTTTTGCAGTGTGACCGTGCTTCTCGGGCAGTAATACCCGGCTGCAGCCTTGGCCTTGCCCACGACGATCACGATCTCTACCACCGACGTCATCACAACCAGTCTGCTCATGACTGAGTCCCTTTTGCTCCACTCGTCCTTCCCGTCCAACCGCAATACAATCCAGCGTCCGTCGGCACACTTCGCTTTGAGCTTGCCATCGTTTTTTTTCGAAGTCAAGAGGGAGAGGCCAAGCCCTGGGGCAGGGAAATCCCTTTATTTTCACAGTACCGATGTATTGCGAAACATTAGTACCGGCGAAATTGATCGACCATAACCCAAAAGGTTATTCAAATTGAAGACCTCGATGTCAGTGATGGGGTGGTGGGATGGAGCGGTATGCGCCAGGGTGATGCTCATTGAAATATATGGCGAAAAGATAAAAGCTCCAACAGTGTTTGGAAGCCTGCTAAGCACGCTGCAGTGGCGGCGCCCGACCAATCGCAAGAAGTCGGCGACTCTTCAGCGGCGCAGGTTTCACGAGTCTACCGTTTTGGCCTATTAGAATGCTCTAATTGGTCCTGTCGATTAGGGCATTTTGCATCCTTCTATCATTGAACCCATTGATGGACACAAATGGCTACATGCCCGATAGTGGCAAAATGCCTCCTACTAATTTCGAACTTACTTGATTTTGTATAGTATACAAGAATGAAGTGTTCGCGAAATGGTTAACAAAAAAATTGGTGGGGGGGCATCGCATCGCATAATGTGCATCTATCTGTCCACATTTCCTACTGCCTCCAGCTCGGTATCATCTTGACGTACATGGGGAGGGTGTTTACCTGTTCACATACCTTTATGCCTCTTCAAACTGTATCTACATTGTAACATAAGTTAGCTCCAGATAAAATTAGTGACATTGGTTAACGTACCCAGTGGCCGCGCCACTTCATCGTCGTACCGTCCATGGGTCGATTTTCAGATCTTCGTTGTGCCGTTGTCTCTACAACAATGGGTCACCCTTCTCTTGATGCCATAGCACCACTGGATGTGACAATAGTAGTGGGAGCGGGCTACAACTGCTAAGAACATGATCTTGCCGATGTAGCTCTCATTGAGGCATGATCGGTAGTAAGTTACCCCGCCACCATCAAGTAGTATTTGGTGGTCCCATATTTAGATTAAACTATGTCTATGTGCAAGACATCTTGCCTGTGATGAACCCGGTAAAAGAAGACCTTCAAATAAAATATACACGGCGTAGGAACAGATAAATATAAATAGTTTACTTCAAGAAATTACGGACTACAATACGTTGCGGCATATCGACATGCGCCAGGACCCACTGGATTCGCTGATATCTTGTGCACGCTGTCAACAAGATGGCGCTGCAACGCCGAGAAATATATACTGGCGGCAAGGCCGAAAGAGATCAGCAGCACCCGCAGGAGCCGTCCGCTCAAACGGAAAACGCCCACCGTCTCGACTACGGCGATGCTCATGTTTCCGCCCACCACGATCGCCTTGTTCACAGTTCGCCACGTTGGCGATCTTCTTGATGTCGGCCTCCAAGTGCTGATGGTCACGCCAACGAGTCCAGTACACCCACGCTCTGCACGAGTGATTTAGCTCTGCAGCTTGCACGTGGGCTCGATGGCTGCCAGCGCATGGCCGTTCTTGATGTTATCCCCACACCCATGATCGCAACGTCGTGTCTTTGATAGGTAGGCGTCGCGTAATTTGTCAAGTCTGCGCTAACGTAATTCACAGGTCAATTGACACCTCTTATTGTCGCTCCATCAATCACGTCACCGAGATCTTATTGTTTGGTACTGTTGTTGACGGCGGTGGGGATGGTCTGCCCACGCCGTCCCGTTGTCTTCGACGGAGCCATGGATGGTACCTGTCACCGGGGCTCAGTCCCAAAGTACCGATACACGACGGTGTCGTCTACAGCGACAAACGCAGAAGTCACCCTGCGTACCGACGGAGTTGCCGATGCTTGGATCGAGTGGTTGTCGACGGTGTTCTCGGGCGGTTCCTTGCTGGTATGGCGATCGGAGACACCGGTACGCAGCGGCGTCGGTAACACACGAAAGGCGCCAGTTACCGACCGTCGGTAACTGGCCCCTTTCGTGTGCTAGGTTCACCACCAATCGGCGTGGCATGCTCTGCAAAATGTTTAGCACGACCGCGGTCGGTTCTTCTGCGCGTTTAGGTCTTAGGCAAGAAAGCAGACAAGTTGCTGGAGCCAAAGGTGTATTTACACCATATCAGTCGAATCGGTTTGGGCTTGTGGGCTTGGGCACCCTGTTCTAGGCTGTTCGTCGACCTGAAGATAGACGCTGCGCGTATCTTTAACATGGACAAAACCTCATCATACATAAGAACGTGCGGAAATCCTCGGTGTGCGCGGATCACCCAAAGGCTTGTGCAGTGACACAAATACAAATTTCCACACGAGTGGGTGCGATAAGCGATACTCGCGCTACGGTACCCATCTGAGTCTTGTGCCAGATGTGCAGTTTTTTTTAAGGAAGCCAAAGCGGCCCTAGGCCGGCGTTTGATGAATGTTCTAGACCATCATCCGCAGTAATAAAATTGGGGGAGGTGCTTGACTGGGTAACAGCTGATTCTTTTGACGAGCGCCATCTTATCAGCGGCCAAAATCACATGATCACTTGCCTGGAAACAAACTTGCTGTTCCAGGTCGTTCGTGAAGCGTCCGTTGCCAGCGTGAGCTCTTTCTTGTTGCGCTTGATTTTTTTAAATCTTCTGACTTTTTCCCCCCCTTCTTGCGCGGGTTGAGCTGTGACGCGCGAGATGATTGACCGTAAAGTCAATATCCGCACCGACTAGGTAGACCAAACGCCAGACGACTTGTCTCTATGGCACATGCACACATCGTTGACTTCCGCATCGATCGGTGCACTTGTCATTGTGTTCAGCCTGGTGTGCAGCACCATCGAAGTTAGCGTCGGACACACTGATCGCTTTGTAAATCGATAGAGCCCTTCCGGGTGTAGGCGGACTACAAGATCAGTAGTTGGTCGTGCGCGGTCCATTTAATTTGCATTAAAAATATTTTGGAAGGCGCACCAAGGTTGTTGGCTGAGTAATTGGTGCAAAGACAGCCATCCGATGGATAACGTGGCTCTCGCCCGGATGCTCTATAACAATGTCGTCTGCATACAAGCAAACGAATAACAGATCATTAGCTAAACACATGTAGTAAGGGCCTTCTTCACTTGCTACCACTCTTAATCTGTAGCTTCGTAGGAACGAATCGGTTTCGTGGAGTCATCTCGCTTCAGTCTATACTATGATATCTCCGACCCCCGATCAGCTCCGACCTATACCAAACCTAGGGTATATCATATCAAGCGAATCCGTAAGAACCAATCAGTTTATGTCGTGGGCCAGACACGATTCCAATTTGTATTCAGGATTTTGCGTTGGGTGGAGGGCGGCGGTGCCATCAATGTTGCCGTTGGTAGCCGGAGGCAACAGCAACGGTTGATCAGGACGGGCGGCGGGGTGGCGGCAGCTGGTGCGCGGGGCCCAGGACCTCACCGCGACCTGATGGTCGCTTGATCGTTCGGTGAGCATTTGCAGGCGCCCCGGTAGTCTGGCCGACCCTGTCGAATGACCAACAGCTGCCTCGTCGCTGCTGCCGCGCTACCTAGACCATGAAGACCTGTGAGTGCTGGTGCCAACCCGGCAGGGGCGGACGGCATGCATCCCTCATGTAGCGCACCCCGCTCAACTGGTGTCATGCGCGCTTGCACGACGGAGTCCGCGTTGCTATACAAATATGAGTACATTCTTTGTTAAATAATATGACGCATATAAAATTACTTTCTGAACCAAATGTGCACGCCTACAGTAGCGGCTCCACTAACACACTTGCATGTACATGTACCCCGCGCATGTACACTCATGCAGGATTTCCTACAGACCGCATGTGTACCCCGGTTACGGTAGAGGAACAGATCAGAGAAATGCCAATATGCATGTGATATGCATCTATCTTAAAAGTTGTATGCACATACACATATTTTGGATTGTGCCGATCTCTATCAATCACGTCCAGGGCGCCAGTCTTGGCACTGTCGGCAACATCCCGGCTACCTTCTCCGGGACACTCTTCTTTACTGCGGCATCTTCAGGGACACCTTCGCATGACGATGATGCTCCACTGAGCCGGAGTAATTAATCAATTGGGTTCGCTGCTTTATCGCCTCCACTCGCTGTGGTCTCAGACCCTCAGGTACTCAGACCCTTAGGTCCTCAGGTGCTCACGCCAAGCGGATATCGAACTTAGTGTACAATGGAAACAATCTAGCGCGTGCTCACACAATTCCATGTTGAAGTGCTCTGAACAGTTATATAATCGCTACGGGATGTTGCACGCGCTTGTGGTTGCAAGTTCGGTGCTATTGCAATCGCCAGGGCTCTTAAACACCAGCAACAAAGCGTCATGCCACTGCCAAGCCACGTGTTTACTCTTAAGCCGTTCCAGACCTATGATTGATAAAAGCGCCGTCGGATAAATGCGTATGAAATTAAAGGTAGCTGGCATAGAAGTAGAAAAAAACTCGTTTTGTTAATAAATGAGACATCCTCCTGGAGAAACATCCGGCAGTCGAGAAGATCAAGGAAAGTGAGATCAGAGTTTTTCGACAGGAAACTTGTTTACTTTATTTTTTACAGCAAGCCTCTGAGTCTGGACGTCTGTTAATGTCGCTGTCGAGACCGAACGCGGGTCGCCAGCCAACCCAGACGGCGGCAAGTTGGTATCCGACACACTGGCACCAGCCTCAGGGGCAATCCACACAACTGCGACCTCCAGGTCGATGGCGGAAGAAGCTTCGCTAATGACAGATGGGGGCTGCGCCGCAGAAGATACGTTGGAAGCCGTTGAAGCTCTGAGGATGACCGCGATGCTGAATTCCGTTGACATTTCCGAGCATGCGTGGACGAGACTGGCAAGAGCACTCCACGGCAGCGGCCCGCGCCTGGTACCAGCCGACGCAGGAAAGATGCTTAGAATGTGTTTGACAAAGGCTGCCACCGCCGACGCGAACGCTTCTGACTTGGCCGGGGACACCTGCCAGGCTGCCTTGCACCTGGCTCCAGCAACGATCGGCGGTCATGGCAGCGTTGGATCGGCCTTGGCGGTAAAGCCAGGGATTGACAAGGGCCTTAGTGCCATATAATTATTATACTAGGGGCGATGAGAGCACAAGATGGATCGCCATTGTACCATGTGGACTAAGAGTCGACATGGGAGCAGCAAGCCACCTCAAACGCGAGCAGATTGTTCGATATGCAGGGCGCCGCTTCTTGGATAAATTTACTGATCTCGAAGCCGTCGAAGTGCCAGTGCTGAAGCCTTCACGTACAAAGACGGGTCAATAGGCAACCAAACCGAACCAACAACCAAGTACCCAAAAGCGAACGGCAGATTTATTCAACTACGGGCAGATCCAGCCGATCAAGACCCTGCAGTATTGAGACGAAGCGTGAGTTCGTGAATTTGACATTAGCAGTGACATGGTGCAATGGGAGGCCGTAGTTCTACGCCTGGATCTAAGCAAGGAATTCATCGCGGAGGTGCTCCCAGTTTTTTTTACGACAAATCCAGCGGGCCTGTTATGCGATGCATATTGAGTTGACATGGGGTCTGCTTTACCATGGTTGTATGTTATTCCGCATTTTGCAATGCAGCAGGCACGGAAGCGCGGGCGTTCAAATAGTCCAATTCGGACGCTCCGTCGCTTGCGGCCGAGGCCAACGCTGCCACAGTTGCGTGATGACACCGCCAAGAGTGCCGATCGCACGTCTGCTGAGGGGAGAACCAGAAATCGAGTTGCGCTCTTCAATAGAGGCAATCGATCTGGATGATGAGCAGATTCCCGAGCTCCGAGCGTTCGACGACCAAACCCTTCAACACAGCGGTAAGATATTCGTTTCGTTACAAAGCATTACAAGTATTTACTATGAGTTCGGTAAACATATAGGCAAAGCAAAACTAGTAGAACAGTTTAAGCTTTCTGTCTACGAATTAGAGAACTGGGTCCCAGTAATTTAGGAAGGCCGGATCTGCGCGCAGAAAGATGTCAACCGCTACTGGATCGAAGTTGATGCCGCTCTTCAACAACCTCAACTTCGGGCTGCGCTTCGGAGGTCGCTCTCTCTACCGCCGCGTGACGTACTCGTCTACGACAAGTCGAAGTTGGATGGTCGCGACGGTGTGTATTACCAGGCGCTGTCATTGTTCTCCGATTTACGCAAGAGCACGGACCCGCGAGTTGTTGAGGCAGTCGAAGCCAGCATCAAGAACATTATGGAACTTGCTCAAGACGTGGGATGCAAGAATCCGATCGTGCCGAAGGACTGGGTGCTATGCAAATACGGTAAGTTTGCAAATTTGTTTTGTGTTTATGTTACTAACTATACTCTGTTTTAGGCATTTCTACAAATGTTCTGCATAGGGTTTCCGTGTCTCTACTAGGTGACTACAAGTTTGCAAGGTTCCAGGAGTTTCGGGGCGCTCGGCTTGTGGAATTTCCACCTACCGACCCAACTGGAAAACCCTGCACGAAACTTACTGCGATGCGACAAGCGGAAGACTATCTTGCGCAAACTACTCACCGGATCGGTTTCATCATTCGCGGTGTGAAAGACCACCGAGAACTGTGTCTGGTGCGGAAGTCGCAGATCGTGAGAGACTTAGCCACTCTGGCAACTATCCCGGATGAAGTGATTTCGCCGGGTCGATGGAGTGCGTTGTAATTTTCTAAGCGTGGTTTACATTTTTAAGAAAAAAACACGTCTAGTAACAACTGCCTGGAATAATGATTTTCGTAGGATGCGTTGCGATTTCGTATAAATCATAGGGCTTTTTTGAGATGTTTATTTATGATATACATAAGATTTAGAGTTGAAGGCATATAATAGGAAGTTTCGGCTGCTATCCTAGAGCAAATAGGATTATATCCGCGGTATATCATGATGATCTAACTGATATATTTTCTTGAAACCCGTACCACACTGGGTCATATGTGATCGAACCGGTGTGAAGACACTGGTATGGATCAGTACATTTATTGAGTACGAAGCGAAGTACGATTAAGGCGGACTGTGTTATAGCGCTAGAAGTACGCATTTGCATTTCTACGAACAGATCTCAACCAAGTTTTTTTGTAAGACATTGTCGGTTGATTAAAGTAAAGTATCTTAATCGGAAGCTATTATAGAAATATGTATGAGAAAAAAAATATTTTCGAAAACGACTGATTAGGGGACACGGAAGGGTTGCGGGCTCCTCCTTCTTGGCGGCGGCCGTCTTGGCCTTGCGGGCGGACGGCGAGCGCGTCGTGGCCGGGGCGGCGGCCGTCTCCTCAGCGGGAGCGGCAGCGGTGGCAGGCGTGGGCTCGGCGGCCGCGGCCTTGACGTCTTCGGCGGGGGCCATTGGGCTGGAGCGGGGGCGAAGAGGAGGAAGCGGGGAGCGGTCGGAGCCGTTGGCGTCGAGTTCTTTTCTGCCAGTCAGGCGGAAATGGAGGGATTTTGGCGGATTTGGACTTTCGCGGGAAACTTAAAATTGGTGAGGCCCAATGGGCGCGCGGCAGTTGCAAATTCCGCCAATCAAAAGCCGATAACCGAACCGAATGGCGAAAACAACTGATTAGGGGACACGGAAGGGTTGTGGGAACGTATTTAGAACCAGACATGGAAGCCAACCAATTGACGAGCCGGACTGGCGGCTGGCCGCCTGGAGCCTAGGGAGGGGCCTTGGTCTAATGGAACGAACGCCTTGACGCTTACTCAGTATTTGAGGGTATCGTTGCGGATTCTATTCAGCTGAGATCACACTTCATTCAGTCAATATTATACATCAAGGTAAGTCGATACAGAATGCTGAAAATCGGCACGAACAGCTATCAATGCTGAGAACAAAAGTATCGTTCGCGCCTTGACAACCGTCTACAGTGGAGAACGGGTTTCAAAGACTAGGTACTCGGGTTCCTAGATAAGTTTATTATTGCGGAAGTGATTAGTGGTGGGGACTGACCTGAAATCTTCAAAGCTCATGCACTGAACCGGTACTTGTGGGCCCAGTGCGCAAGCGGCTCGACCGAATGAAGCCAATTTGGACGGCAGAGCTACTAACACTGGAACACCTTAAAGAAGTGCACGATTGGGGTTTCTGAAAAGGGGATCATGGCTGAGTAAGCAACTCGCATGGTGCGAGCGCTGAAGCGTGCGAATCGCTCCTGTAGTACCCGTACGTGTTGGCAATTGTGAGTATTGTGGATTGTTCAGATCTCTTCGTGTTCCAGTACATCTACGGATCATTTAAACGAGGATTGATCGGCGCCGTACTGACCGACTATCTAAGATAAGCATCGACCTGGTGGACTTTGCCAGCGCTCATGTGAATGGCGGGAGCACGGCACAAATAGTGGCGGGAACATTGGAGTAGTCGTAACGGTAGTTATGCTGGCAGTACGTACCGGTTGTGGTAATCTAGTCGCCGAGGTGTGGAGAAAGAAGGACGCTGTTGGAGCTTCGACCAATCAGGCCAGATAAAGAGGGACTTGTACTAGTAAGAAGAAGAAGGTCCAGGCAATGTTTGCACTTGATGCAGAATATAACAGCGTCGAGCGAGTACAATCAGAAGGTAAAGCGTTCCGCAACGCAACAGACATCAACCTCCACCCGACAACAAGAACAGCAACGCAGCTCGAAGTGGTGAACATCAACCGCAACAACATGAAGAAGGTGTGGTTCCTGTATGAGGGCAGAGGCGTGGTCGGCAGCATCAGCAGAAACACGGAGGCAATGCGAGTCTTGGACGAGGGCAAGCAGTATCAGTAGCAGCAATACCAGGGCTGCAGCTTATGTATGCGAAACAACCACTCAAAGGCGGCAGTGCTTCCGCGAGCCGCCCTTCTTAGCGTACGACCCGCATAATGAACAGCACAACAGTAGGGTCGTGACGAATGCAGGAGATACTCGACCAAATGTCACAAATGATGGAGACAATACACAAGCGTCATGAGATCCAAATCAACGGCCTGTGGTGCTGCCAAGCGGACAAGATCAATGCACTCGCATTGCGATATCATTGACTACGGTAAGGGTTCTTCCTGTCATGACCGGTCCAGAGTGTCGACCAACGACAGTGCACGTAACAACGAGACATTCGGCAGCACTACATGTACCAAATGCCACGATGGAGAGACACTGACACCGCTGCTGCCAAATCCCGAACTGCAGCCAAATCGTGCCGTCATGGGTCAGTAATGGTGAGCGAGGTCCACATCGGCGAAAACAACTTCCCAGCTCTGATCGACACTGGCTGCTTTCGTTCTACCATCGATCAAAGTGGCGTGGAGCAAATACCGGGGCATTATATAATACAAAAGGAACATTCAAGCAAGCCAACCGGCATGACGATGCACGTGGCAATGCCTCCACTCAACTTACTAGTTTCTCGACCAAGCGTGTATGTACGCAATGTTAAAAAAAATTGCCCTTATGGAGCTCCTCGACTGTGAACCACATCGTTACGCAAGCGAGGATGACGTCAACAAAATACCATACCAACTGGCTCCTGATAACCTCAAGCCCACGGCGCCACACACATGGGAGCTGCTGCTCAAATGACCGTCCGCGGCGCGAAAAAGTAGCCGCAAGTAGTTATTGACGCCGATGCCGCTGCAGCACCAACGCCTCGTCTACTAATTCCAGTGATGGTCATTTTAACCGGTATACTGAAGCATGCCTACACATCAGTTAAAACAACGTACTTCAGTTTGGCCGTGACCCAGTTCGGGCAACAGCTACAAGGGCTTGATAGCAGCCATCTTTCAGGTCTCTAGGATAGCGGTCCGGGCTACGGGCTTCTTTCTGGGCGCCCCGATCTCGCGCAAGGAGGAACAGCGAGAACAAGTGTTGTACGCTAGGCAAGATCACCAGCTCGACAGTGGCCAACCTGCCGGCAGCGGACACAATGCCGCGCGCAATACAATACAGCAACGAGACGTGCTAGGTACTGTGCAGTGTAGCCAACGCGGTCATGAACGCAAAGGGCTGTTTGTAACGGTCTGCCTAGCCGAGTGTCCCGTAATTAAATTTTTCATTAAAAAAACAGTGTTTACAATATTACTGTAGAGCAATGCGGATTTAGTCCACAGCAAACCTCGCAGAACTTCTCGCTGCGGGTATCTACACGTACATGTAGCGCGATGGACAGCGCAGCCGGGAGATCTGCGTCATCACAAGGATAGCCACGGGTGAATGAACTGAAGCAAATCTAATATCAGTATGCATCCCGCCAAGTGCGCACGGACGCAACGTGGCCTGTCTGAGTGGCTTGAGCACAGCATGTCGTGTCTTGAGTGCAGAGCACTTCCTCTCCCTCGTCTTGACCTTCTTCCTCCTCGCTCTTGTTCCTTATCCTCCCGCCTCGGCGTCACGCCCCTGCTCTCGAGCCGCCCTGCATTGCCTTCTTTCGCGTAGTGTACGTCCGCCGACTCGCTGCCTTTCTGCTCGTGACCACCGCCGCGTTCTGCGCCGTCTTGGGCTGCACGTCACCACCGCCTATCGCGCTGTGTGTCACTGGGGCCACGGAAGGGTCCAGCAAGTCGGTTGCACTGTGGAGTGGCTCGCCCGGATCGCTTCCTTGCGGCCGGAGCAACGTTGTGTGGCTCAGACGCACCTGTAAGTCCTACAACGGGTCCTCGCTGTCTCGGCTGCGTGCTCACCCTGTGCTGGCGGTTGTAGCGCTCGGAATGTCCTTCAGCTCACCATTCGGCCGCAATGTCATGCCACTGCGGCATGCAGCCGTGCTGCGGAAGCTGTCTGTGCTGCTGGAGCGGGTTTGCCCTCCACTAAATCTACATTGCTCTAAATACTAAATTCAGCAAATATTTTCTGATATTTGGATGTTACTTCAGTTACTTCAGTCCATTTTGCATGACACTGCCGCGAACTTGGACGTGCAAAGGTGTAGAAGTGCGCGCATGCATCTTGCACGTCGCCAAGGATGACAAGAGCTAGACCATTATTTTTTAATCAAATGCATAGTAACCGTCTATGACTTTAATGGTGTATTTGAATTTTAGTACACGTTTTGTGAAGTTGAGTTTGAGAATAACGCCGTCTGATGGTGTAGTTACTGTTGACAGAGCAGCACTTGCTCCAATTACGTTTAATGTGTCTGTGTCAGCGTATAATGAGCAGCCACATTAAATATGACGATTTTTCCTTTTTAACTGGCTTTACTACCCCATTTCAAGAATCATCTACCTAGCTTATCTGGATAGAGGGCTCGTCGTTGGAAACACGATACAATCCACCAGAATGTTTGAACCCAGTGCTGCCCACAAATTTCGTAGTATCCACACATAATTATGGCAATATATTAACCCTTTCGTGAACGAAGGGTGCATAATGCTCCCATCGAGGTATTTTTGAAAACAAGGTGCGATTCCAACCCTTCGAAAGGGGCATAATGCCTCCTTCCACCCGAAGGGGCGCTCAACCTCACCCAGTGTTATTTTGACCAATCCAGTGTAAGGCGAATAGGGGTAATGTATGCTCGGCTGGGCTTTCACCTCCAAAAACAGATGAAACCCTGCTAAATGTGATGAAATTTACGCGATAGATTCCTGTCTTTGGTAGATGAGCAGCTTGAAGGCGGCTGCACGAAACCGTCGTGGTACTTGCGGTTGATTTAACGTGGTGGTGAATGGAGGCTGAGTGTCAGTCTCGAACTCGCAGCGTACGCCAAAGATGGATTTCCGTCGCAAAGGCGACTATGTAAAGGTTTCTCGTGCGTGTGGATTGTTTGCTAACTGTCCTGTACAGTTTGGTGCTCCGATCAAACTACACGCATCGGATGGCAGGCGCATTTACGGTGATCCAGGGGAAAATCTCAAAATGGTAGGCATGGCATAGCATATAATCTCCATCAAACAGCATCCTTATTGCTTCCCCTTGTACAGGCACTTTCTTTCTTCAGCTGTGAAATGGAAGTAGAGTTTGACGCCCTCAATCCAGTCTACTGGCCTTTGGAAGACCGAGTACGTTTGTACATTGCGACGTTTGGTAAAATGTATGTTTGCTAAGGGTACGGTCATGTCAAGGAATACGAGCGCGGGTTCGGGCCCTCGGTGGACGTAGATGATTTCATTGCGGCGCTACCAGTGAAAGAAATGTACGCTGTCTATGCTGCTGCGTGGGAAAGCGGCGGTGAGTTCACCGGTAAGCTCCTACACGACTTTCTCTTTATGATGCGTTGGTTGAAGACTTCGATGGAGATCTCTGAGGTAACCTTTTTGTCGGAACTTTATAATGGCTTCTTAGGTCGCTTACTTGCATTCACTTGATGATGTTATAGATCACTCGCAAGGATATCAAGGCTCGCCTACAGTATCTGGATGCGTACCTATCGCGAAAACGCCGTGCTTTAGACGTTCATGTGGAGAAATACGTTGCGCTACAGGCCGACGCTCTTGCTAGTGACGACGCACGCAACCGGCACCTTGTTGATGGTTTCAAGCGTGAGCGAAGCTACAATCTGATGGCTTTTCTTTCGAGGCCATGGAAGTTGTGGACGTATTGGCCGAGCAGCTTGAAGTCGAGCGACTCCAGCGAAAGATTTGCAACTGCGAGAAGTGCTGCTACTACCGTTCTCCTCGGGACAGCTGTTCGGAATGCCCCCCGACACACTGCCACCAAAGCGCTATCACCGTCATGGCTGTGAAACGTTCTGTCTGACAGAACACTACCACAAACTCTAGCGTAAGGCAAGCACCAGTTTGTACGAGTTGTAAGCCTGTCAATTTCTTTTTCTCTTCGTATTTCATGCTAAGTTGTCTTTCACTACGATTGTGATTAATGTCGCTTGGAGCTGTCATCGGACGTGTACTGTGGACAAGTAATGCCGGGTTACACATTGGTCGCTGGTTATAATGTAGTGGGATTTACAGATTATCTAGCTGCCGTTCCTACCAACGCAATAGTGCAATCTCGTCGGTCAGTCCGCTCGGTGCTGCCATTGGTCGTTCCGCGTGGACAACGCGTCCAGGACGTGCGTGGAGTCGCCCGGCATCTTGTCAATTCATCCGAAGGTGGTCTCGGTGTTGACTAGGACGTCCAGAAGCAGCGTGGTGGTGTCGGCTACCTCGTTCACCATAGTCGTCAGCAGCCTGCTGTAAAACAACCTGCACAACAGTCATCGTCTTCAAGGTGGCAGCCTCTCCCACCATGATGGCCGTGTGCACACTGCCCAGAATGATGACCTTCGGCAGCGTTGAAGGGCAGATGCTGCGCACTTTCGGTAGTCATGGGATGCAGTGGCTCCAGTCACGATGTCTGCCGAGATGATACATGGTATCGAGAAGCTTGGCCACGCCCACGGTCAAACGCAGACCTGATACCCAAGTCGTTGGCGAAGCTCACGCAGTACAGCGCCCTACTGCTTAGTGGTGTGGCAGCCGGAGAAACCTCCGTAGCGTGCTATCCAGCCGTGTAGAAGTAGCAATCGTACCGTGGTGGGCAGGATTTCGCTGGCACAGGTGCACCACGCCCGGCATGGCGGCATGAACTTGGGGATGTCGCCTCGTATGACGCCAAGCTCGGTGTCCAGCTGTAGCAAAGCGTTCCGCGGCTGCGACGTAGACATTGATCGTAGGGTTCAGCAGCACCGACGCCAAACACGATGTCCAGCAGCACCGACGTCGAGTACAGCGTCCAACAGCTCGGATGTAGACGCCAAGCATGACGCACACCAGCACCGACGACATGCATGGCGCTCTGCGGCTTTGCCGCCACGAACGAGGCTCAGCAGTATACCGAGATCCGGCAACGACGACGTCGAGCATGACGCCCACCAGCACCGACGACAAGCATGGCGTCAGCGGCTCCGACACCAAGAACAAAGCTCAGCAACTACGACGTCGAGCACGGCGTCCAGTGGCTTCGAAGAAGCCCTCGAGTGCATTACTCAGCGGGCAATGGTGTGAGCTTCGCGGGGCTGACTTCGATCATGACGGCCAGTATCGAGACCATGTCGACACGCACGGTGCGCAACGGGCCTTCGTGTTGCTGGAGGCGAACAGGGCGGGACGTTGCTCGGTGGACGTCCTCCTTGTGGTGTCTGCCCAGACGCGGGACTCGTCATGGGCATGGGGTCTTCAGCTTGGCAGCATCCGTGAGCATGGGGTTCGTGTGTAGGGCGCCGAGTAGCTTGGTGGCAAAACGCTGGCGCAGTTCGCAGGAGCCGGCAAAATCGGAAGTTAGCGATTGATTTGAAGCGGCGCCGCGCGCGCAAGATCGCGGTTTGGCGCCCAAAGCTTCAGTTTGTTCCACCAATTGCCGCCCGCTGCTACATTGACCAGCCAATCACCACACAGCGTTATCACGATCGCTACCAGTGATTGGCGGGATTAGCAAAACCGAAGACATAGGCGAAACTCTCTGAGCGATTATTGGTAGAAATAGAGGAAGCAAAAAGACCGCAAAAGCTTCGACAAGTCTGCCAAAAGCTTGGATACGCTGCAACTAACCGCAAAATTTGCGTTTTGCCTGAATGGGTGCGCTGCCGATCGATAGCGACGCACGTACCTAAAACAATACGTGTGGTAGGAAGAGGATCTAGAACAAGCGGAAATGTTAGTTCATACAGGTAGAAATAAGCACCACGGTAGTCTGCAAAAGCTACCTGACGTACACGCGCAGCAATTTCACCCCTGCCGCCTCTGTCGTTCACACCACCGTATTGTCCCGGTGTCACCGCCGCCGCACCAGCTGTATTTAGCACCGCCATTTGGCCGTCGCGGAAATCTAATCAAACGACCAGTAACGGTATGATGGCGCCGGCAAAATTGCGCGTTGCTCAACTCCGTTTGCGTAAGGGTATGCGCCTTTAATGGCACCGCGGTGTCATGGCGGCAGCCCCACCCCGCGCGCGCTGTAGGCAGCGTGGACACTTTGGCCACAGCGATGGTCTGCACCCAGCACTACTCAAGCCTGCATCCAGCACTACTCAGTTTACCACCTGCGTAATCTTGTTGCTGGCAGCGTGCTCGCTACCCGGCATATTTTGCGTGGGGATATTGCCGTTGATGGCGCCGTGGTGTCCTGGCACCTGAAATGCCAAGCTATTAGTAGTAAACGTCGATCGCCATGACCATCACGTGACCCTCCCCCTGTACTACTCACTGATGCGTCACCACTAACTGTATACTGCTGTTGGGCGAACAAACGATAAGTGGTGTGGGGGAGTAGCCGTGCCCAGTTATCGAGCTATTTGGTTCCGGGCTAGCCCACCTTTTTAGCGTACATACAGGTCAAGAAAATAAATTATGCGCTGTGCAAGGAACATACGCATTTTTATTACTCACAAAAGCGTCATGTATTGAAGCAGCAATGTGTCTGGTTTCAGAAATAATAACATGAAATATTGCTAACACTTTTTACGAATTCACTGCGGCGATGACTCGAAACAAATCCTCACATGAAGGCAGCCAGACAGCGTGCGTCAGGTCGGCGCCATCGCTACATTAGTGGCCGTTTGAATAACTCTTCCTTGCGGCCAAATCTCTGCATTAACCTCCTACCTTTAGCGCGCCGTCTTTGGTCCGGGACAATATAGGACGTAGCTGCGAATGCACCGCTCATCGTGTGTTCACCCAACTGTTCGCCCAACAGCAGTATACAGTTAGTGGTGACGCATCAGTGAGTAGTACAGGGGGAGGGTCACGTGATGGTCATGGCGATCGACGTTTACTACTAATAGCTTGGCATTTCAGGTGCCAGGACACCACGGCGCCATCAACGGCAATATCCCCACGCAAAATATGCCGGGTAGCGAGCACGCTGCCAGCAACAAGATTACGCAGGTGGTAAACTGAGTAGTGCTGGATGCAGGCTTGAGTAGTGCTGGGTGCAGACCATCGCTGTGGCCAAAGTGTCCACGCTGCCTACAGCGCGCGCGGGGTGGGGCTGCCGCCATGACACCGCGGTGCCATTAAAGGCGCATACCCTTACGCAAACGGAGTTGAGCAACGCGCAATTTTGCCGGCGCCATCATACCGTTACTGGTCGTTTGATTAGATTTCCGCGACGGCCAAATGGCGGTGCTAAATACAGCTGGTGCGGCGGCGGTGACACCGGGACAATACGGTGGTGTGAACGACAGAGGCGGCAGGGGTGAAATTGCTGCGCGTGTACGTCAGGTAGCTTTTGCAGACTACCGTGGTGCTTATTTCTACCTGTATGAACTAACATTTCCGCTTGTTCTAGATCCTCTTCCTACCACACGTATTGTTTTAGGTACGTGCGTCGCTATCGATCGGCAGCGCACCCATTCAGGCAAAACGCAAATTTTGCGGTTAGTTGCAGCGTATCCAAGCTTTTGGCAGACTTGTCGAAGCTTTTGCGGTCTTTTTGCTTCCTCTATTTCTACCAATAATCGCTCAGAGAGTTTCGCCTATGTCTTCGGTTTTGCTAATCCCGCCAATCACTGGTAGCGATCGTGATAACGCTGTGTGGTGATTGGCTGGTCAATGTAGCAGCGGGCGGCAATTGGTGGAACAAACTGAAGCTTTGGGCGCCAAACCGCGATCTTGCGCGCGCGGCGCCGCTTCAAATCAATCGCTAACTTCCGATTTTGCCGGCTCCTGCGAACTGCGCCAGCGTTTTGCCACCAAGCTACTCGGCGCCCTACACACGAACCCCATGCTCACGGATGCTGCCAAGCTGAAGACCCCATGCCCATGACGAGTCCCGCGTCTGGGCAGACACCACAAGGAGCACGTCCACCGAGCAACGTCCCGCCCTGTTCGCCTCCAGCAACACGAAGGCCCGTTGCGCACCGTGCGTGTCGACATGGTCTCGATACTGGCCGTCATGATCGAAGTCAGCCCCGCGAAGCTCACACCATTGCCCGCTGAGTAATGCACTCGAGGGCTTCTTCGAAGCCACTGGACGCCGTGCTCGACGTCGTAGTTGCTGAGCTTTGTTCTTGGTGTCGGAGCCGCTGACGCCATGCTTGTCGTCGGTGCTGGTGGGCGTCATGCTCGACGTCGTCGTTGCCGGATCTCGGTATACTGCTGAGCCTCGTTCGTGGCGGCAAAGCCGCAGAGCGCCATGCATGTCGTCGGTGCTGGTGTGCGTCATGCTTGGCGTCTACATCCGAGCTGTTGGACGCTGTACTCGACGTCGGTGCTGCTGGACATCGTGTTTGGCGTCGGTGCTGCTGAACCCTACGATCAATGTCTACGTCGCAGCCGCGGAACGCTTTGCTACAGCTGGACACCGAGCTTGGCGTCATACGAGGCGACATCCCCAAGTTCATGCCGCCATGCCGGGCGTGGTGCACCTGTGCCAGCGAAATCCTGCCCACCACGGTACGATTGCTACTTCTACACGGCTGGATAGCACGCTACGGAGGTTTCTCCGGCTGCCACACCACTAAGCAGTAGGGCGCTGTACTGCGTGAGCTTCGCCAACGACTTGGGTATCAGGTCTGCGTTTGACCGTGGGCGTGGCCAAGCTTCTCGATACCATGTATCATCTCGGCAGACATCGTGACTGGAGCCACTGCATCCCATGACTACCGAAAGTGCGCAGCATCTGCCCTTCAACGCTGCTGAAGGTCATCATTCTGGGCAGTGTGCACACGGCCATCATGGTGGGAGAGGCTGCCACCTTGAAGACGATGACTGTTGTGCAGGTTGTTTTACAGCAGGCTGCTGACGACTATGGTGAACGAGGTAGCCGACACCACCACGCTGCTTCTGGACGTCCTAGTCAACACCGAGACCACCTTCGGATGAATTGACAAGATGCCGGGCGACTCCACGCACGTCCTGGACGCGTTGTCCACGCGGAACGACCAATGGCAGCACCGAGCGGACTGACCGACGAGATTGCACTATTGCGTTGGTAGGAACGGCAGCTAGATAATCTGTAAATCCCACTACATTATAACCAGCGACCAATGTGCAACTCAAGTTCGCGCACGCATCAGCGCTGTACACACGGAATAACAATTTGGCAAGATAGCATAGGAAACATCCTTCGTACATTTACATATTCAAGCATTGCCAACCTACTCACACGGAAGTATCGTTCAGATCGCTCACGATCGATCAAGCGGCGCGAGGTCGAGGTCGCTCTGTCGGAGTGTTTGAGGGTACCATGGACGTCTCCTTCAACTTGTACAGCGATGATGATGTACGGAGGTTGCCTTTCTCTGATAAGAGTTGGTTAGGAACGTAGTAGCGATGAAACCCTTCCCAACATATCAGGTCCGTCTCCGTGCACATATACGGCTTGATTTCTTGCTGGTAAATGCCGCGGCAAAGGCAAACATTATATCTACCGCAATAGTCGGTCTTTTCCGTCGCGTGTCGATCCTCCCATCGACAGACAACACACGCGCGCCGCTTTCTACTGCAATCACCGAGGGCTTGTCGTGATGTCACAGCAACACACCGCTTGTGGGGGCTTCCGTCAGGTATGGTAGACTGCAGTACTGCTGTCGAAAGAACTGGCGAAGGGATTGGCTCGTCGGAACCAACGGCATCAAACGCAATACGGCCATCACTCGGCGCATCGACCCATTTGCCAGAAATTAGCTCCGATGAAAGTTGAATCATGAAATCCCTGTACGATTCGCGGTCTTTAGACATATCTACCACCTGACGGCGCGTTAGATACGCGTTTGATCTGGCAATGTCGATGAGACCAAGCGCCAGTTTCTTATGCCACGGCTTGAACGAGTGGCCCTCAGCAATGGAGAAACGCGCCCGAGTCTGGTCGAGTCTGTCGACGCCTTGCATGTGCGCATTATACTCTTTCTCACACATAGGTGGCGGGTAAATTTGCTTAGTCGCTCCCACTCGGCGATCCACAGTCCCTATCACCGACGAATCAGCGTTCGTAATGACCTGAACAATACTCCCATCGCACCACGACGCAGCCACGATACTGTGCTCGGAAGACACACCTTGCCGATAATCGCCTCGAGTTGCGGAGTTCTTGTCTAGTACTGTGTGTTTGGGGAAGTGCTTGGTTGTACCCCTCACCCTACCTCGTGCGTAGAGTCCTTTAAGTCGCAGCGCCTGCAATAGTTGGACCTGTGTGGGAGCGCACCTAGCTCGACCACGCTTCCGTCATCGCGCCCACGCGATGTCATCCGGACATCATCATCATTCAACAGCACGGCGCAGACCATGCAGAGAGGGTCATCGCTTGCTCTGTGCACAACTTGCGTCGTGGCAGTCTTGTCTACGACGGTAACGTGAGGCCAGTCTCTTGGAGCCACCAAGAGATGCGTGAACACTTCATGTACGTTGAAGCCCCGTCGACGCTAGACTGGCCGAGGCAGACAGTCAATCTCTGGCTGATACCGGGGAAGCCACGCGATCCCCAGAATGCAGTCGAACGCGTAATTCAACTCGATCACCAGGAAGTTGTCGTTGCTGCGGAAGCCGTCGAACGTGTACGATAGGGACACCTCGCGTAGCTCGACGCGACGAGTCTTGCCATCCGCAAGCTTCACTACAACCTGGCCCGGACCCTTCCGGACGCGAACGCTCGCAGGGATCACCGACCGACACGACGCGCGGAAGAAGTTGTTCGTCGCTCCTGAGTTGAGAAGCGCGAGCAGTGGGCGTCGGGCACCTGCGACATGGAGGCTGACGATGCTCAGCCTCGAGTCGCCGCTCGTAGTGGGGGCATTAAAACATGCATAGAGCATGGGAGGGCTTGAAGGCCGGGTTGCCACCAGAGGATCCGGACCTTCGTTCCAACCAGTAGGGCGCCCCGCACCTACTGGCCCCGGCCGTTTTTTGGTTGAGCGGCCGGGCTAGCGTCGATATCGACGTGCGCGAGAACAGGAGCTGGCGCGCGGCTCTCTGCTGCGCGATGTCCGATCTTACGGCAGCTGAAGCAGGTCAGAGGACGAGCGCTCCCATCTCCTCCCCCACCATAAGCCGGGCGCCGCCGATCACCCGACGCCTCAATTGCGTCCATCTCCATGGGCTCGGGCGCGGGCGCTCGAGAAACTTCCGGCATCGCGCGCGCGTACGACGCTGCCACCACGTAGTCCTCGCGAAGCGCGAGGGCGAATGCCTCCTCGAGCAAGGAGGGTTCGGCTCTCGTGAGACAGTACCGCGCCATGCCTTCGCGCATCCCGAACACAAAGACATGCACCTGAGATACCATGTCAAAGGGGTGGGTAACAATGCACGACACAAGGTATCGTGTCTTCTGGACGTAGTCGCGCGTGGACATCTTGCCTCGATTGAGGGCAAAGAACTCCGCTCGAACGCGCGACTCGTCTTGGGGTGGCTCGAACGCGAACCGGGGGTCACTCTGGAGCGCCTCCAGAGTTGGAAACGCGTGCTGGGCGACGACGAGCTTGCCGAGGGCCCACTTCTTGGTCTTCCCAGATAGCCGGGAGAGTAGAACGTTGACCTTGGCCGCCGGCGCTTCGATCATGCGCGAGGCGATAGCGATGTCGATCACACGGAACCAGCGGTTTAGTGGAAGTCGATCAACCCCCACGCCAGAGTAGGTGGACGTCTCCAGTTTGACGACGTCGTTCCTGGAGGAGCGCGAGGGAGTTGTGACCCGTTGATTCGCGTCGGCGAGCTCGCGTTCCATGAATTCTTGAACAGCTTGGCGCTGTTGTTCCGGCATCACTGAGCTCAGCTGCGAAGTGACAACAGCCTCCGGGCACCGCCGCGAGGCGATGGAGAGCTTCCCACTCAATGTGCGCGAGATGCGGAAGGCAACGGGCTCCAGGGCTACCCCTGAAGGTCCAGACGTCAGGACTTGGCTCATCTTGGTCTTGGCCGTTGGAAGGACTAGGTGTAACGGGCCAGGTGTGTGCCCGTCACTAGCTTACCCGAAGCGGCGAGGAAGCTTAGTTTAGACTCGGATTTAGTGAGACCAAGCAGTCAGTCTTGGGTAAAATCAACTCTGTTTAATTTTAGGACCAGGGCGGCTACCCCTGGTCTCATGTGAGCCACTCAAATGCATGTCAACACCTGATTGGTTGAAATGGTATCTCGCTCCCCCACTTCAGCCAATCACGATGAACGTCAGTACATGCTACCCGTTTACTGACGTACCTACTTTATGTACTATGAATATACCTACTTATGTAACTGGGGTCCATTACAAAATCAGTGAAGTGAAGAAGATAGCTAGCCAAACGTAAGATCAAACAGAAACCAATTTGCTCAGAACATGCGGGCGTCTCTATTCTTCGGGCTGGGAATCCCCCAACATCTTCAAGGGCCATACACGTGGGATCCGCCTTCGCGCTCCATTTCATATTCCATCATGTGTGTCTTAGGCAGTAGAGGTAGTCACCCCCGAGACTGAATTGATTGACTACTGTGATAGGATTGCCTTATATCTTGTATTTTTTCCTCATTCTGTGAGGGTGGTGCGCGTAAGTGAGTGTACATCTGGCGTTGACCAGTGCCTTGGATGACGGGTCGTAAGTTGACGGGCGTATAGACCCAAAAGTCTTAAAGAACAAGTGGTGACTGTATATTCTGTGACGTTTAGCTCGGCATGTATTTCTGTGTGATGATTAATCTGAATTGTGGATCTGACGGTGGTCCCTTCGATTCGGTCTGACCTTCTGTTGATTCGGTGTGGTTCGTGTCAGGAGCACACCCAGCAGACTCGATTTTGTATTTACAATAACTCATTCGGTGACGTTCGGTCCGCCAAAGGTAAACGATACGTATAGGGGTTGCCACAAGGACACAAGGACACACGCTAAGTCCAAGCGATTCCCACAGCCCCCCCCCCCCCCCGGTCCACATTCTGTGCTCCCTGGATTACATCGGATATCCGAACAGATTCGGTCCGGCATAGTGCGCTATACACCTGGACGATAAAGGCGTTCATCCGCCTCGTCTCATAAGTAGTTCGGGCGCGCTATATCCGTCAGCTTAATGCCGATTCCTTGGCACCAGCCATGCGCTTTATTGTCGTACGCGATGTGTTCGAGTCGCTAGTGTAGCTTCAGCAGAGTCGCTTGGTCCCTGCGCTGCTCAGTTCCGCGCTCACCGGTTGCACCGTAGCGTTCACCACATGGACCCGCGCCTCCGGGACTTTTCGCCAATTGCATCGACCGTTAATACGTCGTTGCTGCGATTGACGTCGTATATTTTCAGCTGGCCTGCTTCGCGAATGACGTAGCTTCTGCCACGTAACCGCTCAATGAAACTCCCTTGCTTCTCGAGTCTACTGATAATGCTGTCCATTAGGTTGTCCGAGTAGTAGACATTTGACAGGTCCAGTAGACGACCTCGTTTCCGTCGATGATTGTCCGTAGCTTGACTGTCCCCACCATGCTTATATAAAAGCTTCCGCCGTTAGCTACGCGGCATATTGGATCGCAGTCCACTGTGTCCTTGAGCATCTTGATAGATGCACGCTGAACCCGCTGTCCAGGATCTACGGGTCATGTTCGCGTTGATGGGGATCCTCACGGGCAGCGTGGCCGTCACCGCGGCCTTGTCATCACCTTTCTCCTTGTTAGGGTAATTAGCCCTTAAATGCCCCATTTAACCACATTTGTGGTACGCGCGTGATTCATCGTTTCCGACACGGGTGACAAAACCGTCGCCGCTCCACCTTGATTATCACGTCCACCGTTGGCAACTCGTCTACCATGGTCATGTCATGTACGGCCTCCTCGGAGGCCGCCACTTCTACTGCATTGCCTGGTCGTACCGGCTTCGTACTCGATCGCAAAAGAGATGAGCCCTGCGGCCTGTTGGAGGTGATCCGTGCGCTGTGTAATGAGGTGCATTAGCATTGCGTTCTGGACGAACGGTAGCGCCGACCTGCAGCGATTTTGTAGCCCATACTGCTCCAATTGATGTAGCGTTCCTCCACGTACACCAAGATCTGGTAGTGCTCGGGCATGGTCTTGATCGGGCTTTTCTCCTTGGACATTCGCTCGATGCTCTTGGCTGATGACATCGGCGCCATGTACAGTATGAGCATGCTGTTCATGGTGTGATCGAGCGCGTTTGACACAGCCGTCCGCCCAGCCAGCATCTTCTCGAAGTAGACGAGGGCTATATCCTCCAGCTCCCCGCTGAGCGCGATCATCTTGAACACTTCGGTCCAGTCCCCGCTGCTCATTTGCCACACGGCAAAGAGTCGCTGCCAAAACCGCAGCCCCCATGTCTTGAAGTCAGCGCCGACGACAGCATAATTCTCCTTGCCTGAGACCTCCGAGAACCCGAACCAGTCCAGGTCCCTCGCTGGATATCTTCAGCCCGACGTTGTCCAGCCACGTCCTGCTGTGCCGTGTACGAAGGTTGCACCTGGGGTTCCGGCGGAACGCGCCGTGGCGCAGCAGTGCCAACAAGTACTGGTACTGTTCCGTCCAGGTACGATTCGCACTCTTCCACGATCGCACCATGTGAGTTGCTAACATAACCATGATTTCCATTTGAGAAACGTCAAGCATGCGGTTCATTAGGTGCTCCAGTGCGGTTCATTAGGTGCTTCAGTACCGAATTGTATCCATTCGGTCGAAGTACCTTCGCACTGGGCCCTCGAGATACTGGATCAGTACACGAGCCTAGAAGTCCTCATGCCAGTTTCCACTGCTAATCACCTGCGATCAATCAACCCGTCCAAGCACCCGAGCTCCCAGTCCTTGAACCCCGTTCTTCACTATAAAGGTAGTTGAGGCGTACTTTAAGAACGATAGTTTTGTTTCAAGATTGATAGCTATTCGTGTCGATCATCAATTTTGTGTACCAGCTTCCCTTGGCGTACGGGGAATACCTGAATGAAGTGCGAGCTCGACTGAATAGAAGCCGCAGCGATAAATTCGATTTTGCAGCAAAAGCGTTCGCTCGATTAGACCACGACCACTATTACCGGTGGCCGGCCAGCCGCCAGTCCGGCTCGTCAATTGGTTATATTGAGCCACTCTAAATACGTCCCCACAACCCTTCCGTGTCCCCTAATCAGCTGTTTCGCCGTACTACATGTTTGTTACCCCAATGCTAGGATTTTGGTACCCCATTTTTAATTAATGTTTTTAGGTACGGTCGGCTTCACACACAGCCGCAACATCTGCCCTGAAATATGCATTACAACTGATGCAAGATATCAACCGAGAATGTCTTACAAAACTATAAATAAGATCTGCAGCTTGTAGAATGCTTACCTCTAGTGCTATTGCACAGTCTGCCTCAATCGCACTTCACTTCGTACTCAATATATGTACTTATACATGTCACCGGTAGCACACATAAACCTTTTTGGGTGGCCCAGTGAGATCATCATAATGTACCATGGATATAACCGTATTTGGTCTAGGATAGCTGCACTAACGTTGCTTCCAATCCCAGTATTAAATGTACATATGTATTATCTATAATAGTACCTTTATTGTGCTTTGCAGATAAAATGCCGCCCGGTTTTATGGCCTAGATCGAGGAAAGCCGGTCCACAAATTGGGGTACAAAACAGAGGCGGTAGCATGGACGACCTCGATTTATTTAGATCAACCTAGAATTGCGCTTTTGAAAACGCAAAAAGGATCGATTTATCGTAGATCGACCTCGTTGTGCTCAAATCCACCAGGATATCGACCTCGGGCCTTGATTTGGATTGTCGTCGGTCGAGTTATTTGCCGACCTAAATAGATCGATCTGTCTCTTTCTTTGACCTCGTTTTATTAAATCGGTCTCGATTTATTATAACTCGAGGAAAGCTCCCAATCAAAACGACAAAACGTTTACAAAGCACAATAACTGTAAATCATATTGTATCAAAATAAAAAATAATCATCTAAAAAAACTGAAAATACAATGCATTCCACGAAAATCATTACCCCAAGCAATTGGTACAAATCATTTTTTTCTTAAAAATGTAAGCCACGCTTAGAAAATTACAGCTCACTCCATCGAACCGGCGAAATCACATTATCCGGGATAGTTGCCAGTGTGGCTAAGTCTCTCACGATCTGCGACTTCCGCACCAGACACAGTTCTCGGTGGTCTTTCACACCGCGAATGATGAAACCGATCCGGTGAGTAGTTTGCGCAAGATAGTCTTCCGCTTGTCGCATCGCAGTAAGTTTCGTGCAGGGTTTTTCAGTTGGGTCGGTAGGTGGAAATTCCACAAGCCGAGCGCCCCGAAACTCCTGGAACCTTGCAAACTTGTAGTCACCTAGTAGAGACACGGAAACCCTATGCAGAACATTTGTAGAAATGCCTAAAACAGAGTATAGTTAGTAACATAAACACAAAACAAATTTGCAAACTTACCGTATTTGCATAGCACCCAGTCCTTCGGCACGATCGGATTCTTGCATCCCACGTCTTGAGCAAGTTCCATAATGTTCTTGATGCTGGCTTCGACTGCCTCAACAACTCGCGGGTCCGTGCTCTTGCGTAAATCGGAGAACAATGACAGCGCCTGGTAATACACACCGTCGCGACCATCCAACTTCGACTTGTCGTAGACGAGTACGTCACGCGGCGGTAGAGAGAGCGACCTCCGAAGCGCAGCCCGAAGTTGAGGTTGTTGAAGAGCGGCATCAACTTCGATCCAGTAGCGGTTGACATCTTTCTGCGCGCAGATCCGGCCTTCCTAAATTACTGGGACCCAGTTCTCTAATTCGTAGACAGAAAGCTTAAACTGTTCTACTAGTTTTGCTTTGCCTATATGTTTACCGAACTCATAGTAAATACTTGTAATGCTTTGTAACGAAACGAATATCTTACCGCTGTGTTGAAGGGTTTGGTCGTCGAACGCTCGGAGCTCGGGAATCTGCTCATCATCCAGATCGATTGCCTCTATTGAAGAGCGCAACTCGATTTCTGGTTCTCCCCTCAGCAGACGTGCGATCGGCACTCTTGGCGGTGTCATCACGCAACTGTGGCAGCGTTGGCCTCGGCCGCAAGCGACGGAGCGTCCGAATTGGACTATTTGAACGCCCGCGCTTCCGTGCCTGCTGCATTGCAAAATGCGGAATAACATACAACCATGGTAAAGCAGACCCCATGTCAACTCAATATGCATCGCATAACAGGCCCGCTGGATTTGTCGTAAAAAAAACTGGGAGCACCTCCGCGATGAATTCCTTGCTTAGATCCAGGCGTAGAACTACGGCCTCCCATTGCACCATGTCACTGCTAATGTCAAATTCACGAACTCACGCTTCGTCTCAATACTGCAGGGTCTTGATCGGCTGGATCTGCCCGTAGTTGAATAAATCTGCCGTTCGCTTTTGGGTACTTGGTTGTTGGTTCGGTTTGGTTGCCTATTGACCCGTCTTTGTACGTGAAGGCTTCAGCACTGGCACTTCGACGGCTTCGAGATCAGTAAATTTATCCAAGAAGCGGCGCCCTGCATATCGAACAATCTGCTCGCGTTTGAGGTGGCTTGCTGCTCCCATGTCGACTCTTAGTCCACATGGTACAATGGCGATCCATCTTGTGCTCTCATCGCCCCTAGTATAATAATTATATGGCACTAAGGCCCTTGTCAATCCCTGGCTTTACCGCCAAGGCCGATCCAACGCTGCCATGACCGCCGATCGTTGCTGGAGCCAGGTGCAAGGCAGCCTGGCAGGTGTCCCCGGCCAAGTCAGAAGCGTTCGCGTCGGCGGTGGCAGCCTTTGTCAAACACATTCTAAGCATCTTTCCTGCGTCGGCTGGTACCAGGCGCGGGCCGCTGCCGTGGAGTGCTCTTGCCAGTCTCGTCCACGCATGCTCGGAAATGTCAACGGAATTCAGCATCGCGGTCATCCTCAGAGCTTCAACGGCTTCCAACGTATCTTCTGCGGCGCAGCCCCCATCTGTCATTAGCGAAGCTTCTTCCGCCATCGACCTGGAGGTCGCAGTTGTGTGGATTGCCCCTGAGGCTGGTGCCAGTGTGTCGGATACCAACTTGCCGCCGTCTGGGTTGGCTGGCGACCCGCGTTCGGTCTCGACAGCGACATTAACAGACGTCCAGACTCAGAGGCTTGCTGTAAAAAATAAAGTAAACAAGTTTCCTGTCGAAAAACTCTGATCTCACTTTCCTTGATCTTCTCGACTGCCGGATGTTTCTCCAGGAGGATGTCTCATTTATTAACAAAACGAGTTGTTTTCTACTTCTATGCCAGCTACCTTTAATTTCATACGCATTTATCCGACGGCGCTTTTATCAATCATAGGTCTGGAACGGCTTAAGAGTAAACACGTGGCTTGGCAGTGGCATGACGCTTTGTTGCTGGTGTTTAAGAGCCCTGGCGATTGCAATAGCACCGAACTTGCAACCACAAGCGCGTGCAACATCCCGTAGCGATTATATAACTGTTCAGAGCACTTCAACATGGAATTGTGTGAGCACGCGCTAGATTGTTTCCATTGTACACTAAGTTCGATATCCGCTTGGCGTGAGCACCTGAGGACCTAAGGGTCTGAGTACCTGAGGGTCTGAGACCACAGCGAGTGGAGGCGATAAAGCAGCGAACCCAATTGATTAATTACTCCGGCTCAGTGGAGCATCATCGTCATGCGAAGGTGTCCCTGAAGATGCCGCAGTAAAGAAGAGTGTCCCGGAGAAGGTAGCCGGGATGTTGCCGACAGTGCCAAGACTGGCGCCCTGGACGTGATTGATAGAGATCGGCACAATCCAAAATATGTGTATGTGCATACAACTTTTAAGATAGATGCATATCACATGCATATTGGCATTTCTCTGATCTGTTCCTCTACCGTAACCGGGGTACACATGCGGTCTGTAGGAAATCCTGCATGAGTGTACATGCGCGGGGTACATGTACATGCAAGTGTGTTAGTGGAGCCGCTACTGTAGGCGTGCACATTTGGTTCAGAAAGTAATTTTATATGCGTCATATTATTTAACAAAGAATGTACTCATATTTGTATAGCAACGCGGACTCCGTCGTGCAAGCGCGCATGACACCAGTTGAGCGGGGTGCGCTACATGAGGGATGCATGCCGTCCGCCCCTGCCGGGTTGGCACCAGCACTCACAGGTCTTCATGGTCTAGGTAGCGCGGCAGCAGCGACGAGGCAGCTGTTGGTCATTCGACAGGGTCGGCCAGACTACCGGGGCGCCTGCAAATGCTCACCGAACGATCAAGCGACCATCAGGTCGCGGTGAGGTCCTGGGCCCCGCGCACCAGCTGCCGCCACCCCGCCGCCCGTCCTGATCAACCGTTGCTGTTGCCTCCGGCTACCAACGGCAACATTGATGGCACCGCCGCCCTCCACCCAACGCAAAATCCTGAATACAAATTGGAATCGTGTCTGGCCCACGACATAAACTGATTGGTTCTTACGGATTCGCTTGATATGATATACCCTAGGTTTGGTATAGGTCGGAGCTGATCGGGGGTCGGAGATATCATAGTATAGACTGAAGCGAGATGACTCCACGAAACCGATTCGTTCCTACGAAGCTACAGATTAAGAGTGGTAGCAAGTGAAGAAGGCCCTTACTACATGTGTTTAGCTAATGATCTGTTATTCGTTTGCTTGTATGCAGACGACATTCTTATAGAGCATCCGGGCGAGAGCCACGTTATCCATCGGATGGCTGTCTTTGCACCAATTACTCAGCCAACAACCTTGGTGCGCCTTCCAAAATATTTTTAATGCAAATTAAATGGACCGCGCACGACCAACTACTGATCTTGTAGTCCGCCTACACCCGGAAGGGCTCTATCGATTTACAAAGCGATCAGTGTGTCCGACGCTAACTTCGATGGTGCTGCACACCAGGCTGAACACAATGACAAGTGCACCGATCGATGCGGAAGTCAACGATGTGTGCATGTGCCATAGAGACAAGTCGTCTGGCGTTTGGTCTACCTAGTCGGTGCGGATATTGACTTTACGGTCAATCATCTCGCGCGTCACAGCTCAACCCGCGCAAGAAGGCACAGCCAATTTATAATCTCGGTACGGGGGGAAAACGTCAGAAGATTTAAAAAAATCAAGCGCAACAAGAAAGAGCTCACGCTGGCAACGGACGCTTCACGAACGACCTGGAACAGCAAGTTTGTTTCCAGGCAAGTGATCATGTGATTTTGGCCGCTGATAAGATGGCGCTCGTCAAAAGAATCAGCTGTTACCCAGTCAAGCACCTCCCCCAATTTTATTACTGCGGATGATGGTCTAGAACATTCATCAAACGCCGGCCTAGGGCCGCTTTGGCTTCCTTAAAAAAAACTGCACATCTGGCACAAGACTCAGATGGGTACCGTAGCGCGAGTATCGCTTATCGCACCCACTCGTGTGGAAGTTTGTATTTGTGTCACTGCACAAGCCTTTGGGTGATCCGCGCACACCGAGGATTTCCGCACGTTCTTATGTATGATGAGGTTTTGTCCATGTTAAAGATACGCGCAGCGTCTATCTTCAGGTCGACGAACAGCCTAGAACAGGGTGCCCAAGCCCACAAGCCCAAACCGATTCGACTGATATGGTGTAAATACACCTTTGGCTCCAGCAACTTGTCTGTTTTCTTGCCTAAGACCTAAACGCGCAGAAGAACCGACCGCTGTCGTGCTAAACATTTTGCAGAGCATGCCACGCCGATTGGTGGTGAACCTAGCACACGAAAGGGGCCAATTACCGACGGAGAGCAGCCGCGACGCAAAACGAGCGAAGGGTAAGAGTTCGACCGAAGGGCGGGTCGCACTGACGCGTCCGCCTCGGGATAGAAGGAGTAAGGAGCCATTCGATAGGACCAAAATGTGAGCGAGAACTAAAGACTTCGTCCGGACCATATAGGATTGCGATTACGGAACGTGAACAGCGGGCTGTGATGGACAAATAGAGAAATTGGGAACTGCAACTGAGGAGCCAAGTGACCGCATTCCGTTATGGTCCGGACGAAGTCTTTAGTTCTCGCTCACATTTTGGTCCTATCGAATGGCTCCTTACTCCTTCTATCCCGAGGCGGACGCGTCAGTGCGACCCGCCCTTCGGTCGAACTCTTACCCTTCGCTCGTTTTGCGTCGCGGCTGCTCTCCGTCGGTAATTGGCCCCTTTCGTGTGCTACCGACGCCGCTGCGTACCGGTGTCTCCGATCGCCATACCAGCAAGGAACCGCCCGAGAACACCGTCGACAACCACTCGATCCAAGCATCGGCAACTCCGTCGGTACGCAGGGTGACTTCTGCGTTTGTCGCTGTAGACGACACCGTCGTGTATCGGTACTTTGGGACTGAGCCCCGGTGACAGGTACCATCCATGGCTCCGTCGAAGACAACGGGACGGCGTGGGCAGACCATCCCCACCGCCGTCAACAACAGTACCAAACAATAAGATCTCGGTGACGTGATTGATGGAGCGACAATAAGAGGTGTCAATTGACCTGTGAATTACGTTAGCGCAGACTTGACAAATTACGCGACGCCTACCTATCAAAGACACGACGTTGCGATCATGTGTGTGGGGATAACATCAAGAACGGCCATGCGCTGGCAGCCATCGAGCCCACGTGCAAGCTGCAGAGCTAAATCACTCGTGCAGAGCGTGGGTGTACTGGACTCGTTGGCGTGACCATCAGCACTTGGAGGCCGACATCAAGAAGATCGCCAACGTGGCGAACTGTGAACAATTCGATCGTGGTGGGCGGAAACATGAGCATCGCCTCAGTCGAGACGGTGTGCGTTTCCCGTTTGAGCGGACGGTTCCTGCGGGTGCTGTTGCACCTCTTTCGGCCTTGCCGCCAGTATATATTTCTCGGCATTGCAGCGCCATCTTGTTGACATCGTGCACAAGATATCAGCGAATCCAGTGGGTCCTGGTGCATGTCGATATGCCGCTACGTATTGTAGTCCGTAATTTCTTGAAGTAAACTATTTATTTTTATCTGTTGCTACGCCGTGTATATTTTATTTGAAGGCCTTCTTTTACCGGGTTCATCACAGACAAGATGTCTTGCACATAGACATGGTTTAATCTAAATATGGGACCACGAAGTACTACTTGATGGTGGCGGGGTAACTTACTACCGATCATGCCCCAATGAGAGCTACATCAGCAAGATCATGTTCTTAGCCGTTGTAGCCCGCTCCCACTACTATCGTCACATCCAGTGGTGCTATGACATCAAGAGAAGGGTGACCCATTGTTGTAGAGACAACGGCACAACGAAGATTTGAAAATCGGCCCATGGGCGGTACAACGATGAAGTGGCGCGGCCCCTGGGTACGTTAACCAATGTCTCTAATTTTATCGGGAGCTAACTTATGTTACAATGTAGAATGTAGATACAGTTCGAAGAGACATAAAGGTACGTGAAGATGACACCGAGCTGGAGGTAGTAAGAAATGTGGACAGATGGATGCACATTATGCGATGCGATGCCCCCCCCCCCCCCAAAAAAAAAAAAACAATAATAATAATAATAATAATGTATTGCCATAATTATGTGTGGATACTACGAAATTTGTGGGCAGCACTGGGTTCAAACATTCTGGTGGATTGTATCGTGTTTCCAACGACGAGCCCTTTATCCAGATAAGCTAGGTAGATGATTCTTGAAATGGGGTAGTATATTCCATAAAGCCAGTTAAAAAGGAAAAATCGGAGCAAGTGCTCCTCTGTCAACAGTACTACACCATCAGACGGCGTTATTCTCAAACTCAACTTCACAAAACGTGTACTAAAATTCAAATACACCATTAAAGTCATAGACGGTTACTATGCATTTGATTAAAAAATAATGGTCTAGCTCTTGTCATCCTTGGCGACGTGCAAGATGCATGCGCGCACTTCTACACCTTTGCACGTCCAAGTTCGCGGCAGTGTCATGCAAAATGGACTGAAGTAACTGAAGTAACATCCAAATATCAGAAAATATTTGCTGAATTTAGTATTTAGAGCAATGTAGATTTAGTGGAGGGCAAACCCGCTCCAGCAGCACAGACAGCTTCCGCAGCACGGCTGCATGCCGCAGTGGCATGACATTGCGGCCGAATGGTGAGCTGAAGGACATTCCGAGCGCTACAACCGCCAGCACAGGGTGAGCACGCAGCCGAGACAGCGAGGACCCGTTGTAGGACTTACAGGTGCGTCTGAGCCACACAACGTTGCTCCGGCCGCAAGGAAGCGATCCGGGCGAGCCACTCCACAGTGCAACCGACTTGCTGGACCCTTCCGTGGCCCCAGTGACACACAGCGCGATAGGCGGTGGTGACGTGCAGCCCAAGACGGCGCAGAACGCGGCGGTGGTCACGAGCAGAAAGGCAGCGAGTCGGCGGACGTACACTACGCGAAAGAAGGCAATGCAGGGCGGCTCGAGAGCAGGGGCGTGACGCCGAGGCGGGAGGATAAGGAACAAGAGCGAGGAGGAAGAAGGTCAAGACGAGGGAGAGGAAGTGCTCTGCACTCAAGACACGACATGCTGTGCTCAAGCCACTCAGACAGGCCACGTTGCGTCCGTGCGCACTTGGCGGGATGCATACTGATATTAGATTTGCTTCAGTTCATTCACCCGTGGCTAATCTTGTGATGACGCAGATCTCCCGGCTGCGCTGTCCATCGCGCTACATGTACGTGTAGATACCCGCAGCGAGAAGTTCTGCGAGGTTTGCTGTGGACTAAATCCGCATTGCTCTACAGTAATATTGTAAACACTGTTTTTTTAATGAAAAATTTAATTACGGGACACTCGGCTAGGCAGACCGTTACAAACAGCCCTTTGCGTTCATGACCGCGTTGGCTACACTGCACAGTACCTAGCACGTCTCGTTGCTGTATTGTATTGCGCGCGGCATTGTGTCCGCTGCCGGCAGGTTGGCCACTGTCGAGCTGGTGATCTTGCCTAGCGTACAACACTTGTTCTCGCTGTTCCTCCTTGCGCGAGATCGAGGCGCCCAGAAAGAAGCCCGTAGCCCGGACCGCTATCCTAGAGACCTGAAAGATGGCTGCTATCAAGCCCTTGTAGCTGTTGCCCGAACTGGGTCACGGCCAAACTGAAGTACGTTGTTTAAACTGATGTGTAGACATGCTTCAGTATACCGGTTAAAATGACCATCACTGGAATTAGTAGACGAGGCGTTGGTGCTGCAGCGGCATCGGCGTCAGTAACTACTTGCGGCTACTTTTTCGCGCCGCGGACGGTCATTTGAGCAGCAGCTCCCATGTGTGTGGCGCCGTGGGCTTGAGGTTATCAGGAGCCAGTTGGTATGGTATTTTGTTGACGTCATCCTCGCTTGCGTAACGATGTGGTTCACAGTCGAGGAGCTCCATAAGGGCAATTTTTTTTAACATTGCGTACATACACGCTTGGTCGAGAAACTAGTAAGTTGAGTGGAGGCATTGCCACGTGCGTCGCCATGCTGGTTGACTTGCTTGAATGTTCCTTTTGTATTATATAATGCCCCGGTATTTGCTCCACGCCACTTTGATCGATGGTAGAACGAAAGCAGCCAGTGTCGATCAGAGCTGGGAAGTTGTTTTCGCCGATGTGGACCTCGCTCACCATTACTGACCCATGACGGCACGATTTGGCTGCAGTTCGGGATTTGGCAGCAGCGGTGTCAGTGTCTCTCCATCGTGGCATTTGGTACATGTAGTGCTGCCGAATGTCTCGTTGTTACGTGCACTGTCGTTGGTCGACACTCTGGACCGGTCATGACAGGAAGAACCCTTACCGTAGTCAATGATATCGCAATGCGAGTGCATTGATCTTGTCCGCTTGGCAGCACCACAGGCCGTTGATTTGGATCTCATGACGCTTGTGTATTGTCTCCATCATTTGTGACATTTGGTCGAGTATCTCCTGCATTCGTCACGACCCTACTGTTGTGCTGTTCATTATGCGGGTGGTACGCTAAGAAGGGCGGCTCGCGGAAGCACTGCCGCCTTTGAGTGGTTGTTTCGCATACATAAGCTGCAGCCCTGGTATTGCTGCTACTGATACTGCTTGCCCTCGTCCAAGACTCGCATTGCCTCCGTGTTTCTGCTGATGCTGCCGACCACGCCTCTGCCCTCATACAGGAACCACACCTTCTTCATGTTGTTGCGGTTGATGTTCACCACTTCGAGCTGCGTTGCTGTTCTTGTTGTCGGGTGGAGGTTGATGTCTGTTGCGTTGCGGAACGCTTTACCTTCTGATTGTACTCGCTCGACGCTGTTATATTCTGCATCAAGTGCAAACATTGCCTGGACCTTCTTCTTCTTACTAGTACAAGTCCCTCTTTATCTGGCCTGATTGGTCGAAGCTCCAACAGCGTCCTTCTTTCTCCACACCTCGGCGACTAGATTACCACAACCGGTACGTACTGCCAGCATAACTACCGTTACGACTACTCCAATGTTCCCGCCACTATTTGTGCCGTGCTCCCGCCATTCACATGAGCGCTGGCAAAGTCCACCAGGTCGATGCTTATCTTAGATAGTCGGTCAGTACGGCGCCGATCAATCCTCGTTTAAATGATCCGTAGATGTACTGGAACACGAAGAGATCTGAACAATCCACAATACTCACAATTGCCAACACGTACGGGTACTACAGGAGCGATTCGCACGCTTCAGCGCTCGCACCATGCGAGTTGCTTACTCAGCCATGATCCCCTTTTCAGAAACCCCAATCGTGCACTTCTTTAAGGTGTTCCAGTGTTAGTAGCTCTGCCGTCCAAATTGGCTTCATTCGGTCGAGCCGCTTGCGCACTGGGCCCACAAGTACCGGTTCAGTGCATGAGCTTTGAAGATTTCAGGTCAGTCCCCACCACTAATCACTTCCGCAGTAATAAACTTATCTAGGAACCCGAGTACCTAGTCTTTGAAACCCGTTCTCCACTGTAGACGGTTGTCAAGGCGCGAACGATACTTTTGTTCTCAGCATTGATAGCTGTTCGTGCCGATTTTCAGCATTCTGTATCGACTTACCTTGATGTATAATATTGACTGAATGAAGTGTGATCTCAGCTGAATAGAATCCGCAACGATACCCTCAAATACTGAGTAAGCGTCAAGGCGTTCGCTCCATTAGACCAAGGCCCCTCCCTAGGCTCCAGGCGGCCAGCCGCCAGTCCGGCTCGTCAATTGGTTGGCTTCCATGTCTGGTTCTAAATACGTTCCCACAACCCTTCCGTGTCCCCTAATCAGTTGTTTTCGCCATTCGGTTCGGTTATCGGCTTTTGATTGGCGGAATTTGCAACTGCCGCGCGCCCATTGGGCCTCACCAATTTTAAGTTTCCCGCGAAAGTCCAAATCCGCCAAAATCCCTCCATTTCCGCCTGACTGGCAGAAAAGAACTCGACGCCGACGGCTCCGACCGCTCCCCGCTTCCTCCTCTTCGCCCCCGCTCCAGCCCCAATGGCCCCCGCCGAAGACGCCAAGGCCGCGGCCGCCGAGCCCACGCCTGCCACCGCTGCCGCTCCCGCTGAGGAGACGGCCGCCGCCCCGGCCACGACGCGCTCGCCGTCCGCCCGCAAGGCCAAGACGGCCGCCGCCAAGAAGGAGGAGCCCGCTAAGAAGGAGGCCCCCAAGGCCAAGAAGCCCAAGGCCACCAAGGCCGCCAAGGCCGCCGCCCCTAAGAGCGCCGGCGAGGCCGGTCCGTCGTACTTTGAGCTTATCGTGGACGCCATCAAGGAGCTCAAGGAGCGCAACGGCTCGTCGCGCCAGGCCATCGCCAAGGTCGTGGAGGCCAAGAAGGTCAACTACGCCAGCCACCACCTGAACAAGGCCCTGCGCACGGCCGTGGACGCCGGCAAGTTCATCCAGGTCAAGGGCTCGTACAAGCTCTCGCCGGAGCTGCGCAAGCCCGCCGCCACCAAGAAGAAGAGCCTCAAGGTGTCGGACAAGGCTGACAAGACGGTCAAGAAGGTGGCCAAGGTGGCCAAGAAGTCCCCCACGGCCAAGAAGGCCGCGGCCAAGAAGGTTGCTGCCAAGAAGGCTCCCGCCAAGAAGACGGCTGCCAAGAAGGCCCCGGCCAAGAAGGCTGCGGCTAAGAAGGCCCCGGTGAAGAAGACGGCGGCCAAGAAGGCCCCCGCCAAGAAGACCCCGGCCAAGAAGGCGGCCCCTAAGAAGGCCACGGCCAAGGCCACCAAGAAGACGGTCAAGAAGACGGTCAAGAAGACGACGGCCAAGAAGTAAATTGCTTCCCATGTCTCACTGCTACTAAAAGGTCGGTGATTTTATTATGGGTGCGCAGACTGCGCTAGCTACACTACACTACGTCGAGCGCCAAGCATGTCCTGCTCCACCCTTCCCTCTATCCCTCGGTGTTTTTTAACACCACCCATTTGTACATCAGAAATTGTCCTTTAGCTCACGGAGCCTCTCTCTGTCTGTTTGTTTGTCTGCTTAGCGTGCACACCTTTGCTATGAAGCTGTAGAGCGTGTCGAGACTTGTTCTCTGGCTCGAATCAAGTTGCGTCGTCGCGTTGCGTGTGGAGCTTGTTTCTCGTGACTTTGAAGTGGCAAGACACGGTAGAGCTTTTCATACCGAGCACATCGTCGCAGGAGTGGAGGGCAATAATAGTTTTTGGTGGTGTGTGTGCTGGTGTTGGTCATGCTGCATCGCGTTTTTCGGCGGGGAGAAGTTTGCTGCACTTTGCTGGCTGCCAAGCTTGCGTTGGACTCCAGCACGACGAAACCACCTCGGGGGATACTTCAGCATTAATGCAGTGGCCAAGCAAGTGCCGCTGGATGCTGAAGGAGTAGTGCCGGTGCTTCGAAACTGCTGCGCCGGGGCGAGCAGGAAACTGTTTCGGAGCTTTTTGCACAAGACACGCTGCCAATTGGATCGGCCATTTGAGCTCGGTGCTCCACTTGAAGGCCTCGAAGAGATCATTCCCGAACTTCCATCGTCGGACCAACAAGCAACAACAACAAGCAGCAACACTTCCTTCCAGCAGAGAAGATCGATGACACGCCTGCTCTATCGCGCGGTCGCTTCGGCGCTAGCCCTGACAACGGCTCTGTCAACGTTCACGACTGCACAGTACTCCAACACCAGCAGCAGCAGCAGTGCCGATGTCGCCCCTGGAGTTGAGGACGAGAACTTCGGCGTGGGCTGCGGTGGAGACATGGACTACCCGACTACCACGGACGACTCGACCGTGCAGCCTCGTTACGCCTACTTGGTCACGAATCCGTTGGCCGATTTCATCTCGGTGCACTTCAAGGACTTCAACTTGCCCGAGAGCGACTACGTGCAGGTTCGCGCGGCTGATCCTGCAGCCAAAGACACTCGCGTGCTGCAATACCGCGGCAACGACACCAGCGGGGCCTTCTACTCCGATGCGCTCTCGACGTCGTCCGTCATTGTGGAGCTCTTCACTGACGCCGCGAGCTCAGTGGACTCGGCCAACGCGACTGAATGTGTTGGCTTTGCGGTCGACAGCTACCAGTACTTGGGCCAGGCTTCAACTCTGAATGGGTCCAAGGAAGAAGTCTGTGGTGCCGACAACAGTCAGGAAGCTCGCTGCTACGAGGGCTACTGGAACGCCTTCCAAGCGTCCAACGCCGTGGTTCGCCTGCTGATCAAGAAGTCGACGGGTTCTTACTTCTGCACGGGCTGGCTCCTTGGCAGCGAAGGTCACCTCATCACGAACCACCACTGCATCTCGACGCAAGCTCACGCCAGCAACACCGAATTCGAGTTCATGGCTGAAGGTTCCAGCTGCGGTGTCAACTGCGCCAGTCCTCGCTCGTGCCGCGGAACCATTGTAGCCTCATATGCGACGCTGATCTACGCCGACGCGACGCTCGACTACGCGCTGGTCAAGTTGCCGTACAACCCGACGGGCCAGTACGGCTACCTGCGGCTTCGCTCTAGCGGCGCTGCTATGAATGAGCGCGTGTATGTGCCGCAGCACCCGGCTGGTTGGGGCAAGCGCATTGCGATGAAGTCCGACAATGGATGGGGAACTGTGACTTCGCTGAGCATGGGCGGCTGTGCCAGCGATCAGGTCGCCTATTACCTCGACACGCAGGGTGGATCGTCGGGCTCGCCTGTCATCGCTTGGTCGGACAACTCGGTAGTCGCTCTGCACCACTGCGGCGGTTGCCCCAACACGGCCATTAACAGCTACAAGCTCATCAACGACATGAACTGGCGCGGAATTCTGCCTGCGAACGCTCGCGCGTAAACTCCCTGGACCAAAGTTAGCTTTCTACTGACACGCACAGACTCTTCCGCAAGTCACTACGCTGGACGTCAAGTGCCACCTAACTCATAATGCATTTATCTTCAGTGCATCTTACGATATCGATATCTTGATTCTTGGGTCATTTTTGGGATGAAGTCGCTGCACTTCGCAAATGCGAACAGACAATTTGACTTAAAACTATCCGGTCATGAAATAGTGTGAACTGGGTTTCGCTGGGTGCTTACATCAAGTACGAACACCATCCCATGTTGGGCACGATCGCATTTCAGAACTCATTCAACGCTGGAATTGCCAAGCTTGCGACTCTGGGCGGGGGACAGAGCACTGAACATGGCATTCCGAAACCTTCAACTTCCACGACATCAAGTCGACCAACCTTCAGCCAAGTGCAAGAACTGAATGACTCGTTTACTCGGTCATGTCCTTCTCTCGGCGGTGATGCTCTCGGCAGCATCAGCTCAGGACTACTTCAACTCCAGTAGCACGGCTGCTGGGGTCGAAGACGAAACCTTCGGCGTAGGGTGCGGTGGTGACATGGAGTATCCCCCCACCGATGAATTCACGGAGCAGCCGCGGTTCGCCTACCTCATCACGAATCCGGTGGCCGATTTCATCGCTGTTCACTTCACGCACTTCAACTTGCCCGAAAGCGACTACGTGCAGATTCGTCCAGCGGACCCCGCTTCGAGCGAGACTCATGTTTTGCAGTACCGAGGCAACGAGACGAACGGGTCCTTCTACGCGACTGCACTCTCGACTTCGGCTGTGATCGTCGAGCTGTTCACCGAGTCGGCAAACCACCCGCAGGCCGTGAACACGTCGCAGTGTATGGGGTTTTCGGTCGACAGCTACCAGTACTTGGCTCAAGGATCAACACAGAATGGCTCGAAGGAAGAGGTGTGCGGCGCAGACAACAGCCGAGAAGCAGCGTGCTACAAGTCGTTCAATACTGCCTTCCAGACTTCCAACACGGTGGTCCGCCTGCTGATTAAGAAACCCGAAGGTGCTTTCTTCTGCACGGGATGGCTCCTGGGCAGCGAGGGCCACCTTGTCACCAACCACCACTGCATCTCGACCCAAGAGCATGCCAGTAACACGGAGTTTGAGTTTGACGCTCAGGGATCTTCTTGCAGCAGAAGTTGCGCCTCTGCTCGCGCTTGTGGTGGAGATATCCGCGCTAATTATGCAACGCTGATCTATGCAGATGAAGGTCTCGACTACGCCCTCGTGAAGCTGCCCAGCTATCTGGCCAGAGAGTATGGCTACCTACAACTTCGATCAAGCGGAGCTGCCATGAACGAGCGCGTCTACTTGCCGCAGCACCCGGCAGGATGGGGCAAGCGTATCGCGATGAAGTCGGACAGCGGCTGGGGAAAGGTGACGTCGCTGTCGATGGAAGGCTGCGCGCGGGACCAGGTTGCTTACTACCTCGACACGCAGGGAGGGTCTTCGGGGTCCCCACTCCTTTCGTGGTCGGACAACTTGGTAATTGCTCTGCACCACTGCGGTGGGTGCCCCAACACGGCCATTAACAGCTACAAACTGGTGAACGACATGCGCTGGCGGAACATCCTCCCTGCAGACGCTGCTGTGTAAGAAACAGCATAGCCTCTCTCTGCAATAGTAGTTGCTATCTATCCTTAAGCTTTATCAAATGCATATCTTCATTTTCCAAAAATCGCCAAAAGTTTTGCTAGTTGCCGCCTGCCCAGAACTCTATCGGTATCTTTTGGTTTAGGTGGAGCAAATCGGATGCATTGCCGAGATACCCTCGCTGACATGCGTTGGTAGGAAGAGGCTGCGAATTTTACTGAAGCGGGGACAAGTCTGTAGCCTCCCAGTGCGTCCAGTGTGTTGGCTGGTCACCACCACGATCCCATTTTGGTTTGGCTGGAGGAACTTTCAGTAACTCCCTACGAAAACTGCCGGAGAAAGCTACCACTTCAATGCTCTCGGTTGGGACCAAATCACCGGAGCGAAACAACGACGCTTGATCTTCGTTTTCGGTTGGGTGCACGTAGCTTGGTTGGGTTATCAAATGACACTTCCCATCCGTTGATGCCTGCGGAGTTTTCCAACTCCTCCTGGGGCTTGCACCTTGTGCTGCTGTGCCGTTGAGTTCATATACTCGGGGGATTGGGGCCTCCTCCTTGCCTTTCATTCTCGAATCCACCTTCACGAGCCAACTCAGCAGGAAGAAAAGAAAAAGACCGAGAGACAATGACCCGTCTACTCCACCGAGTTGCGGCTTTTGCAGTCGCAACGTGGGCCGTCATCGCCCATGCTCAAACAGCAACCAACAGCAGCGGCACCCCCGCTGGCATCCAGGCGGAAAACTTCGGCGTTGGATGCGGCGAGACCGTCGCGTACCCGGCTTTCACCGACGATTCCACGCCTGAGCCGCAGTTCGCGTACACGATCACGAATTCGCTGGCGCAGTTCGTCTCCATCCACTTCACGGCTTTCAATCTGCCCAAGAACGACTACGTGCAGATCCGCGCGGCCAACCCGAGTGACCCGGAGACAACAGTGCTGAAGTACCATGGCGATGATGCAAGTGGAGACTTCTACTCCACCGCACTACAAACCACATCCGTTGTTGTGGAGCTTTTCACGCAGACCACCGACCCCGCTGTGGGTGCCCAAGCAGTCAACACCTTCCTCTGCCTGGGCTTCACCGTCGACAGCTACCGATTCCTCGCCCAACCTGCCAACAATGCCAAGTCCCAGCAAGAAGAAGTGTGCGGCGCTGATGAGAGTCAACAAGCTGTGTGCTACTCGTCGTACACCGAAGCATACAAGGCCTCGGGTGCTGTGGCGCGCCTGCTGATCCACAAGTCGACGGGCTCCTTCTTCTGCACGGGCTGGCTTTTAGGCAACGGGGGGCACCTCATCACCAACAACCATTGCATCTCGCAGCAGGCCCACGCCAGCAACACGGAGTTCGAGTTCAACGCTCAGGGTGCGACCTGCAGCACCAATTGCAACAAGGGAATGGCATGCGGCGGCAAGGTGCGAGCTCGGTCTTCGACACTCATTTACGCCGACGCCACGCTCGACTACGCGCTGGTGAAGCTGCCGATCAACCTGTCGGGCGAGTATGGATTCCTGCAGCTCCGCCAGACGGGAGCTGTACTCTCGGAGAGGATCTACATCCCGCAGCACCCGGCTGGTTGGGGCAAGCACATTGCGATGAAGACGGACAATGGATGGGGCAAGGTGACGTCGCTGAACACGAATGGATGTGCCAGGGAGCAGGTCGCTTACATGCTCGACACGCAGGGTGGGTCATCCGGCTCGCCTGTCATTGCCTGGGCGGACAACGCCGTCGTCGCCTTGCACCACTGCGGAGGCTGCCCGAACACGGCCATCAACAGCTACAAGCTCGTCAACGACATGAAAGCGCGCAACATTCTGCCCAGGAACGCCGTCTACAGCGCCGCCACTTCAGCTCCGACGACTTCTCCTCCGACGCAAGCCCCGACCTACGCCCCCGCTCCCACTACCAAGACGAAAGTGGATGGCACGATCACATCGACTGCTACCTTCACATCGATCGACTACGTGGATTTCAAGCTCTCGTCGGATGCAGTTGTCGAGCTGGACATCCTCTCCATGGAGGAGAAGGCAGGAGGCGGATATGTGGATGTAAACGGCGACTGCAATGCCGGATACCTCGACACCAGTATTGTCCTGTTCAGTGCCAACACTGCTACGGGTGCCATGACCGCTGTTGCTGCTAACGACAACGCTCCTAACGGATACGGCAATGGCGACGGATCTATCAGCTCTGCTGACTCATACTTGTACCTGCAACTCACGGCGGGCAGCTACCGATTGGCGGTGAGTGCGTCGGGGCTCACACCGAAGCAAGCTGCAAACAAGCAAATGCCCCTGTCCCCGATGGTGCGCGTGTGCGATAAGGGCACCTCGAACTACGGCAGCTACCGACTCACGATCAGCACCAGCGCGACTGTGAAAGTTTCCGGACCGGGCAGCTACATCGGCTCGCAGTGCAAAGTCGTGTCTCCGAACGCTCCGTACTCGCAGTGCCCCTACCACCTCGAAGCCGCTGCTGCCTATGCCACTGGTGTTGAGGGCTCCATTGTTCGTAGCTATGGTGCAGTGTCCGTGGACTACATCCCGTTCAAAGTCCCCGCTTTCAACCGAATTACAGTGGAGGTGGCGTCATACGGAAGCGCGGACGGCACGAACTTCATGGATGTAAACGGAAACTGCGAGAGCGCGTACGTGGATGCAGTCGCCTACCTCTTCCACTCCAACTCGGCAGGTTTGTCAGCCGCGGACCTCGTAAACTCGGGTGACGACGACGATAACTTCGTCAAGCGGACGCACTACCGCTCCATCAGCTTCCGCGATCCTTACCTATCGCTGGCACTTCCGGCCGGAGACTACACGCTCGTTGTGGGCCGCTACCCGCTAAGTCTCGAAGACACCATCGCACGCGTCAGCCGGGCTTCGGCCGACAAGCTCACCCCGGAGTCGTGCGGCAAGAAGTCGGACCGCGGCAACTACCTGGCCATCTTGAGCTCCGCCGACAAGCTGGACATCACGTCACCCGGTTCATTCTCGGGCAGCAGGTGCCCCAGCGACGTTGGGAAGCAGGTGTGCACAGCCTAAAGGTGAAAGGGAAAGACGGTAATTCACACTCCAGTCCACGCTGGATGTAGCACTCCGTTCCAGCGTAACGGAGACAAGACCAGAGCTAGTGAGTGATCGCTCGCTCGCTGACCATGAGAGAGAAACCCAGCGTACATATCGTGTCCCCATTGCTTTGATCATCAATACACAATGCGTTCTTTTGCCTTCAACTTGTCGTGCGTTCATCATTTCGGCTCAAAACAAGTAGTACTACCTGTGGGCTTGACCGGCATTCCCGGGCCGACAGGGCGGCTGGNCCCGCCACCCTGCGGGTGGCGGGGCCAGCCGCCCGCTCGCCAACCAAAAAATATTGTTTGCAGCTATCTCACATGTACTCCAGCTGAAAAGCTGTACAAGGCGCACGGTATTGAGCACACAACGACGTAGTATTGGTCTTGTTATGCATGCAGCGGCATGGCTAAAGGTCGGACACTCTCTAACATTGATAATAAGTACATATTCGCTGAGGTTTTCCTATGTTACCATATTAGGTATCATTGGACTTAGCATGTCACGGCTTGTAGACGCTGTATCAGTTAATGAAAGAGGTCGAAATTCCTACCGTACGCTAAGCCTCGCGCCAAATGACGTGACACCTTGACCACATCGACCATCTCGACTCGGACGCGCAGAATTTTAGCTGCTTGCTTGATGGCAGCGCAGTACGCGGCGGCGGTGCCCCAGGCATGGTCTTCGGGACTGGACGTCCACATATTTCGCCAATGAAGAGGGCCCAACAACAGCGGCAGGCTATGGCACGCCCTGCTGCACGGTCCAGAGTAGCGTACGTGCGCTTTGGCAAAGCCAGCACCAAAGATAATGTTCCAGCGGAACACCCGCGGCCTCTGCGGCCGCCACACGCTCCTTCAACACTTCCCCACTTCAGCGACCACGTCGTCGTACTCGTTGATCCCAGCCGTCGTCTGCGGTGTGCCGCGCATGTGCATTAGCACCACCGGAACACGCAGCTTGGCGACAATAGCAAGCATGTTTTGGTCGTTCAATCCAGCCGAGATGCTGTAGGCAAAGTTTCCCCCGCTTCGACAGCTTGTCGGGCCCCTGCCGCTTTGGCCGTGTCAATGGGGATGGCCTCATCGCTCTTCGCTCTGCTCGCGGAGCACGGACAGCACACGTAGCATCTCCTCCTTCAGTGTCACGGGCTCGTCCCCGCGGCGACTGGACTCCCCACCGATGTCGATGATGTCCACTCCAACGCGCTTCATCTCCAAATCCTTTGTACCGCAGAGGTGACTGTTCCCAGCTCGACGCCGTCGCTGAAGCAGGGTCTTGCTGCGTGTTGTGCGCTGGCAGCTCAGGCACCGAGGCAAGGTAGCACTGCTGGCTGACCTGCATCCTCCACATGGACCCCAATAGCATCATTCACGAAGCCGAACAATAAGCCTACTACGATAGCAGCATAACCATTGAAGACCATGCCGCAAAACGTCAGGTTTTTGGTCAGCATTACTGTAGTAGACATATATCACACACGTACTTCTCTCGTCACGGCCACAGCGTGGGCATCGGAATCTAACAGCGCGAGCTCGGTGAGAACGTTGCCCTCGCGAAGAGCTTCGTTCTTCCAAACACGGATGTCAACAGTCGGCTGTTGCTATTGGTCAGTTATTCTCGGGGTGAACAGTACATCTGTCAGTACAGCAAAGCGGTGGTCAACGGTGCATAACGGTGGTCAACGGTGGCGCCGGTCGCAGTACAATCCCACGAATTCCGGTCAAGCCCCTACCTGTGGCTGATGAGAACTCGAACAACTAACTTCCTCGCGTAGGATACCAAGTAAATAGTTAATTGCGCTTAGCGTCACTCCTCTAGTTACTCTTACTATTTTACTCACTGGTCTGGTGAGTGAGCGGCAGGTGCGAGACTCGGTTCGAGAATTTGCCTGTCATCTCATCGTTCGGCCTCACGTCAATCCGCGTCAAGCTGCAGTGGCTGATGGGGGCTCCGAGCTGAATGATCTCCTTAGGCACATCGTAGCACTGCGCCATACAATACTGGATAAAGCTGGTGTGCGCGATGATGATCTTGAAGTTCTCCAGCTCGCCCTTGGGTCCCCGCACCAGCTCGTTGTCTCCGTCCCACCGGCAAATGTTCTGGAACGCCATCTTGTGCATCGACTCGCGGTAGTCGAACCGCTGGAAACTGTCCACGTTCTTGGGCGCGCCGTCCTCCAAGAAGCAGCACTCGTACTTGTTACTGATCCACGGCATGGCTTTGGCGAACACCGCGGCCGTCTCCACCGTTCGTCGCAAGCCTCCGTACACCAACGTGACACTCGGGCGGCCATTCCCGCGTCCTTTAAACACCTTGTTGAAGAATTTCGCCGTGATCTGGGCTTGCTCTTCTCCACGCTTGGTGAGTCTCTTGTCTCGGTCACAAACCCGGAAATTAATGTTCTCGGTCTCTCCGTGCCGAATGAAAATGAGGTGCGTAACCCCCCGAGGAGCTGCCATCTTCTTGTTGAGCGGGTTAAGCTCTGGCTGCGTAAATTTGGGGAACAGGACGTTGTCCACTTGGTACGTGCCCTCCTTGATCTGGAACGGGGACAGCGTGGCTCGCCCCATGCACTTGTGCAGCAGCTGCGGCTCCATCGGCACGCGGGCCGCCACCTGGATCGACCACCACCAGAGGAACATGTCCTGCTTGGTCTGGAAGCGGAGGATGCTGGTCTCGCTCCTGCCCTGGTACAGGAAGTCGATTTGCATGACATTCTGCTTAAAGTCGAGGAACTCGAGTCTGCTGGAGGCGACGGGCACCAAGGACCGTTTGCGTTGCACGGTGTCTTTATACTTGCGCAGCACCAGGATGCCGTGGTACAGTTCCGCCCAGCATTTGGTCCACGTGGTGAGGCCCATTTTCACCCGGCGGGTCTCCATGAACCCGCAGAGCACGAAATGCTCGCGTCTGGCGGCTTTCCGCACGGCGTAGTCTCGGGAGCCCACGGGGCACTCGGGCCGGTCTTCGCTGAAGTAGAGTTCTACCTCGTCGATGGTGTAACGACGTGTGGTGGACCCGTTTTGGGGCACGGCCCGGGCCATCGGCGGCGTCGGGTAGTGCGAGTCCAAGTGCGGTCTGTGCGTCTCGAGCTCTTTGGTGCTGGCGAAGTGCACGGTCTTGGGGCTCTTGGCAGGCTTGGTAGGCTGCCGGTTGTCCACCGGTAGAACGGAGTAGGGCGCCACGGCGGCCGTGGACGCGACGGGCACGGGCATGGCGGACTGTGTGTGGGGCGACTGGCCTGCGGAGCCCTGCGCGGTAGACTGCAACTTGCCAACTGACGGTTGGGGACCTCGTGGACCACGAGTCGTGGTTTTTCGCTGGCCAGGTGGTCGGTCGGTAATTTACGCGGTATACATGTACTGATGCCCATAGTGAACCAAAGTGTAAGGACCCCGGACCAAAAATTCCGTGAAAATTACCGACTGTATACAGTGGGACATCGGTAGACGCGAGTGTCTGAACCCATTTCACAAGCTTCAACTCCCGTGTCTAATGTGTCGGGGCGGGGCGCGCTTCAGCTTTTCCCCACTTTCGTAGCGTGGATGGACGGTGCGAGTTGTTGGGATGACCCTGCACGGCGTCTCTGTCAGAGACGCCGTGCAGGGGCCGAGACGAACAGAGACTCTCTGTTCGTCTCGGCCGCCGTTTCTCAGATCGAGCGCGTCGAAGCTCGGCGCCGTGCCCTTACATGAGTGCTGGGCCCTGTGGCAGGGTGGCAGGGTGGCGGACGGACGCTGGCCAGAAAGAAGCTCCTATGCGTCAAGCGCGAAGAACGTGGGGCCGGGCGACATATCCACCGGAGTGGCGGGTGGGTTTCCGATGGTTGTCTGGGGATCTTCCTACCTTGCCTGATTCAGCGTGGGTGCGTGTCTCCGGCAGCAATTCACAGCACTGCATCGTGAGCAGGTGTGTGTCGGTCCACTTAGCGCACAAAACTAGCCGCGGACGGGGTAGGTACAGCTACGTGCTCTGGTGTCGCAGCGGCACCAGTGTGTTGGCACCACATCAGCTTGGCAGCGAAGTGAGGCTGATGGAGTGCCGCACCAAGTGAGAGACTTCGCAGTGAGTACGCTAATTTAGCGCCGCTAAGATTCGAAGATCCAACTCCGAGGCTGGAACTCAACCTGAATTTGCTTTTAAGCAACTTATTGACACCTGTGACTCCTTAATCTCGTGCTCGCATTGATCCGACAAGTTGCTGCTGCGAAAGCTTCGAGCACTCGCGGCTTTTAGCCTTGTGCTGGCTGATTTAAAAATGCCGCATCCCGAAACTGCAGTATGTATGATTGCTGTGCGGGGGTCTCGAGTACTGGAATTGGAATCTCGAGGAATGGAGCCGTTTGCTATCATTGACAATATATTAAATAATTGAGCTCTTACCTGTAGTAGCACAACCTTTCAGTTTATAATGTGCAGCTAACTCAAGCTTCGGTGTGGTTCTATCAAACATAATTCTGGTAAAGTATGAAGACGGAAACGTTGTTCTTGGCTGTTGTAACTTGCGTAGCTTTAAATCGAGAGAGTACTGTAATCCTGGCTACCGGTGGACACGCCAGCAGCAACTCACGCTGGTCTTACCAGCCGCGAGTACTTAGTTGTCCATCGGAAATATCGTTTTCACTGGGCATTTCTCCCTTTACACACTGCGCTACATGTATTTCGACGCGCTCGATCTGAGAAACGAGCGCGGCGAGACGCGAGTAGACGCCATACAGGGTCATCTCAACACCTCGCATTGTCCATCCACGCTACGAATGTGGGGAAAAGCTGAAGTGCGCCCCGCCCCGACACATTAGACACGGACGTTGAAGATTGTTGCGCCAGGCGAAATGGGTTCAGAAACTCGCGTCGAGCGGTGTCCCACTGTATACAGCAGGTAATTTTCACGGATTTTTTTGGTCCGGTGATAGTCCGGGCTGCTTACACTTGGGTTCACTATGGTCATCAGGTATGTAATGTATACCGCGTAAATTACCGACCATCTGCCTTGCCAGCGGAAACCACGAAGGGCTCAGTTGGCAAGTTGCAGGCAACAGCGCAGGGCTCCGCAGGCCACTCGGTCATAGTATGGCAGCGACCGCTGTGTGTGCGTGCGTCCAACCCGTCCCGGATGCAACCAAAGACAACCTGCTTTTCCCTGATTACCATTCTTGGACTTTTGGCTGAAGCGCATACCTCCAGTTGCTCTCGCACGTAGGTAGCGATCTTCGCCCAATATCTCATTCCCCAGGAAGGCTCTTGCACCGCTCGATGGATTTTCACAGCATCTGCCGTGCAGATTCAGCGAGCGTTATGCAAGTGCGCAACTTGCAGTTTTACCACCCATAAACTTTGACAACATTTGGTCGTACCAATTTCAGTTTTGGTCCATGCCAATTCGCCGCCTTTTCAGTCGAAAGTATCCAAGCCACCAATAGTGCGAGCATGAGCGAGAGCAAGCAGCAAGAAGCCGAGGACTATCTGCGCTCCAGACCGAACGTGAACGTCACCGCCGTGGACATCTCGCCCAACCCGGCGGCGCTCACAGTCGAGCTGAACCTGGAGGTGGACTTCCACCTGGACGCGCCCGTGACCAACGGCGTCTGGGACATCGAGTACCTCGTGGACTCGGTCACCAAGCGCCACATTATCAATATCCTTTCCACCGTCTTGCACTGCGTATATTTCCCCATGAAACAACTGAGAAAGCAAATTGTGTTCCCTTAACCAAAAAGTGATTTGTGTGTGCACAACTGGGCCAAGTGGAGGCAACTGACTACGCGCGCGGCGACAACCATTTCCAGTTCTCGGTTCGTCTCTAAATCCAAAACGCGCTCGGTTAGCACTAGCCTAACCGTGGAAATGTGCGCAAATAGGCCCCTCAAATCAACATTTCCGGCATCCAGCCGAGTCAATTGACCAATTGCGGTCTGCTCATCGCGGCCTTCAAGGACGACAATGGCGACATTCTCGACCTCAAGATGGTCATCCAAGTGTCGGAGCAGCGCGGCAGTCTCCAGAGAATCATCTACAGTCCGCTAGAATGAGAAGGTCACTACTGGTTCAGTGGTATAACACCACTGCCAACCGATCGCCAACAGTGCCATAAAAAGCAAAAACCTTTTATCAATTAGATTTTCAAGCTGCAATTCAACCAAATTGGTTAAGTACTGGTAGGACGAAGGACAGTGGAGTGCACCTGCCGCACGGTACTGAGAACTTCCATGCTTTTTGTTGCCTAAAAGGTGACAGAGCGGTAAGTGGTTAGCAAATATTCCCCCACCCACAAACCGTCCTACTCATTTTTCCTCCTTACCTGATCATCTACGATTCGTTTGGTCCTTCCGAGTGCTCGAGTTAGCTTTCGTATCTCTTGCAAGTGACGCTCTTGCTGCTCCTTTGCCCAAAGAAACAGTTCGAACTTTTCTTTCTGGATGGCTGCCACCTTTTGGACCAGGATGTCCACTTCCTGGTTGTAAGCGTCTCGGTCGTCCTACACATTGGCAAGATCAAGCAAAAGTGTCAAACCATGAAGCATTCACGGTGGGAATTGTTGTATTCAGTTTCACCTCGATGATTTTGGCAAAAATCTCGCGATCAACTTGGAAGCGAATCTCTTCCTGCCCAGTCGGAAAGTTTGTCAGATATGCGCTTTGTTATCTTGTGAAAAATCTGTCGATAGAAATGTGCTCACCTGAGCCATTTTGGCGCGTTCAACGCGAAGTTTCTCCTCGCTGGCTTTTACTTTTTTCTTAAAGGCATGACGCTCAGCTTTTGCCTAACTTACGCACGGACGAGTTTTAGTTGTGATGAGATATTGCCTTACAAATGACCTTTCCGACAGCGTCGTACCTTTTGTAAAATGGACTGAAGAACGCGGACATCTTGACTGAGCTGCACATAGTTATCCTCATCACTATTTATCGTGGCGCACTAAATTGTTGCAATGAATAAACCGCCTACCTTTTCTCTGGATGTGCTTGCTACGTAGTTCAATGCCTCCATCTTCGCATCCTGTTTGCATTAAAATCGAAAACCTCGTTAGCTTTCAGGTCTCATCCGATCTCTTGACAAACTCAATTTCGCACCTCTGCTTTCTTGAGCAGGACGTCGATCTGCTGTATGTCCTTCTCGTCGACAACGAGCTTCCTGCATCGAAGCAAGCACGTTTAATTAGTTGCATGGCATATCCCAAGTACAAGACTCCATTATTCTCACAAGCCAGGTTTGTCACCACGACCGCCCCTTTCCAGCGCCTTCACCTTCTTCTTTAAAAGAGCGTTCTCCGCTCGGAGTAGTGCAAGTTCATCCTCCTCATCGATGTCCGCTAGACAAGTTCAACAGCACTTAAGTGTTATGCGCAAGTGCTTCATACCAGAGCAGCATGAGCAACGTACGGATGGATTCGTGAATGTGCGAAGTCTTGGGGCCACTCCGATCAGCCTCGTCCCTTCGCACCTCTTCGTCCAGGTCAATGCGTTCCATCGCTCCGACTCCTGCTCTACGCAGGACTGTGGACGTGACTTACACTACTACGAAAATCACTTGCTCGTAATAGCACCAATGTCCGTTTCACCTTTCCTAATAGAATTTGGTTGTGTATTGTATTGTATATTCTAACTAATCTTCATGTTCGCTTCTTCTAACTATCGGCGGTAGGTTATTCGGCGAGGGTTTCTTCGCTTCAGAGGCCTTTAGTCCAGGTTTCGCACCTAGAAGAGCTATCGCGTACTTGGCACGTCGTTCTGGAGTCATATAGCGCAGCGCCTCGGAGGACATTTCGTTCTGCTGTTGCTGCTCGGCTTCTTCTCGTTCCTGCTGCTGCTTCGCCTCTAAATCCTGCACGGCCGAGGTGATCGACACTTCTTCGAGTTTTCGGCAGATAATTTTCACTTTCCTCTTCACGAACCGAGCGAGGGTCTCGGGCGAGAAGAATGGGCAATGGGTGACGTCCATTTCTTCGAGTAATCGACATCCCTCCAGTAATGCGAGGAGAGTTCGCTCGCTCAGCTTCTTACACGCCGCGACGTTCAGTCGACGGAGAACCGACGATTGACCAGCGATCTCCAGCATCCCGTCGTCTGTGATGCGGACACAGCGCGACAAGTTCAGTTCCTCCAGACTCAAGTGCTTGGCAATAGCGTGAAGCACGCTATCCGACAGCTCGCGGCAAAACGCCAACTCTAACCGCACAATCTTTTCGCAAGAGTTGACGATCTCAATGGTACTCGCATCGCTCAAGTGGGTACAGCCAGATAAATTGAGTGACACGATGTTCGGACAGCGAAGCACAACTTTGTGGATGCCATTTGCCGTCAAATTGGGGCAGTAGCTCACGTCGATGTGCGTAAGGTGGGCTCCTCCAACTGAGTGGTCTAGCATATCGTCCAGAAGCCATTGAAGTCCCTGGTCGCTGAGCTCCGTGCACGCAGAAATGTTGAGTGACTCGAGCTTCTTCGAGCGGTGGCCCAAATGACCGAGAGCCAAGTCGTTCAGACCCGTGCAACCCGTAACATTCAGCGTCTTCATCTTGAGAAGGAGGTTTTTATCCACAACGCCACGCCCGTCGCCTTCCTGATCGAATAAAAACACTTTGTAGGACAGCAACTCTAGCTCCTCCACGTTCAACGTCTCTAACTCCAAGCAGTTGTGAGTGAGAGTTCGAACCGAGAGGTCCGTCATTCTGTCGCAGTGGCGAAGATTAACTCTTTGCAGCCCCGTGCAAACTTTCACCACTTCCAGCAATCCTCCATCGCTGATACGTCGACAGCCACCGATATTCAGTCTCCGCAGCTTGGTCGGGTTCACTAACATCGTCGCAAGGTACTTCATGGCGCTGTTGGTGAGCTGGACACAGAGCTCCACCTCTAACGCCGCCAAGCCGGGACAAGATTTGCCGATAGTGAGGAAACACCGATCCGTGATCCTCTCGCAGAAACTAAGAGAAATCTCCTCCAGTCTCGGGTTCGTTCGCACTATCGCCTCGACTCCAACGTCTCGGATCTGGGAGCAATGCACCATCTTTAAACGCACCAGGCGATTGCAGTACTTCCCCACAGCTGCGAGTCCGATATCCGTGATTAATGTGCAGTAGGAAATATCCAACTCCTCGAGCTGTGAACAACAGAACGCTATGCGCCTCATCGTAGCGTCGGACAGCCGCGAACAGCGAGACAGTTGCAGTCCGGTGCAGAACCGATTGCTCTTTGTGATCACGTCCATGTCTTCTTCGGAGATGTCGAGAACGTCCTTCAGGTCGATGCAACGGACGTCTTCGTTGGATTCTACGGACAACACAAAGTACACCACCGCCTTGGGGTTACGCAAGTCCCGCAACCACACCATATTCGTGAGTTGGTCCCCGTAAAATGTCGGGAACTCCACCAAAACCTTGCAAATAATATCTGCAAAAGTTGATATGATCGTGTCCTCGTCGTCCGTGTGGTCGTACCAACTCATGATATTTACCAGCGAGTTAGCCGACCGCGAGCCCAAAAAGAAGGCAAATGGCATTCGACCGAGCTCTTGCAGTGCTAACCGGCAGTTTTCCGACTCGGTGGCTTGGAAATATGAAGGTTGAATTTTGAGCAAACTGTGGTAGCAGAGCAAGAACAAGTCGCTGAATATGGGATCGCGTGGGATATTCTTCAACACTTCAGCGATGCCGTGGACGTTCTCCGTTGCGATGAACGGCTTCAATCCACAGCGAACCTTCTTCTTGTAGATTTCACGCGCGTGTTGGTGGTCCAAGTCGTACTTTAGAGACGCGCAAATGTTTTCGGCAAACTTTTCCAGCATCTTCTTGCCGTCCGGTGCGTACTCGAGCGCTCTGGAGAATCGACTGGAGGCCAAAGCGAACAGGTGATCGGATTCATGCGCTCGGTCGCGAGTCCCCATCACATAGTGCGCGTTTACTTGATCGCGACTGAACACTTTCCCGTTGTAGTACGCCACGTGGGCGATATTCCCGTGGAAAAAATATTTTCCATCTCTCCGCCGAACGGAAGACAGACACCCGATACGCAGCTGACGAGCTTCTTGGTTGGACTGTTCGTCCAGCTCTCGCTGAATCTTCAGGTTCACACGCTCCCGCATTTCCTTAAACTCTGCTGCAACAATTAACCACTTGGCGTCGAACTTCTCGCGGAGAATTTGCTTCTTCGCTAAAGGTTCAAAGTCTGAACGTGACGCTTTCGAAGCGTCTTTCTTCACTGGGGCCTCCGTCTTCTTTCGGGGCTCAGAAGTAGGGGGTGTTTTCGAGTTATCTTCCGATCCGGTCGCAGAATTCGCTGCGGTACGCGATAATCGTACGCGAAACTCGTGTTCATCCAGCAGTTTTGTGCTTATGGCCTTGACCTGTCGCCGGCCTTCCTTTGTGGCGAAGAAAAGCTTGGTCTCTCTGTCAATCTCCTTGAAGCACGTACCTTTGGCTTCGTCCTCCAAGTCAGCGATATCCTCACGAGTCTTCGCCATGACAGCTTCTCTCTTCTGGATTTCCATGTCCACCACGCTCTCCACTTCCACTTCGTTTTGGAGCAAGCCGTCCACGTAAAACCTTAGGATAGTGCCGTCATACGTCCCCACCAAGTGCGTCCACTTGCCTAGCACCACTTGAGAGCCAAACGCCAAGATGTCGATACTCTTTACGTTGATACTAAACGCCCAAACGTTTGCCTTCAGTGCACTGATGCAAAAGCGACCCATAGTTAACACCACGCGTCTTGTACTTTCGTGGCCGTCGCATCGACACCAAGTCTCTAACGTCACGTGAGAATCCACATCCGATGGGTAGAACCGTTTGTCATAAGGAAATTGAACGCAACCACGCGAGGCCTTTCGCAGCACCAACGAGCGGTTCATGTCGGTGTTTAATATCGGTCCCTCCCCTTCAAGAGTGCAGCCAGGGAGGTATTTCCCTCGGAATTGAGCCCCGTAGGATCCCAGATTCGTCGGTTCAAACGTCCCTCTTCGATCACACAATGGCCAGTATCCATTTGGCTTGTCGGCTACAACGAGCTGCTTGTACGATGTTGCTTGCTTCACTGTCGCTTGCAGCAGTAGTAGAGACGCCATGGAGAAATATAGCATCGATACGTTGTGCTTTACTCGATAGTGATCCCCGGATGGAAGAATATCGTCCAGAACGAACGTGTAGCAGTCTGGAAGCTGTGCCACACGCTCTAAACACAGAGAACTGATCGGAATCGCCATCATATCGGCCACCCGTCTGACGATGTACTCGAGAATAGGTAGGAGATTCCGGCGCAAGTTTTGTTTATCGACTTCGGACACCGCTCGAAGCCCGAACCGGAAGCGGATTCCCTCATAGATGTGCGTTTTCCATAGTGTTTCGCTCCCTCTTCGACTGCCACTGAGTAAATTCAGAGACTGGATCACAATCTGCTTGTGCAGCATCGGTGTTAACCCGGTGGCGTTCGTCTTCGCCGCTTGCCTCATGAAGTGGCGGAGGATGTTCTTAAACGTACGAGCCACCATTTCCCCCAACAGAAAGCGTCGGATACTGGCAGATCGCTCTCGACAGTCCAGTCGTCCGCCATACACCGCCACGTTCTGGATAGAGTCTCCCGTGTGAGGGGTGGTGAGAGTGATGCAAGTCGCGTCGAACCGGTGGCTCCGGTCTCGACTAACAGTACTCGTTTTCCCGTTAATGTACACGTGGGAACCTCTATCCAGTTCTCGCGTAAAGTCCTGCGAGGTTTGGATCTCGGCAGTGGAGTACTGCAGCGTGGCAGTTCCGGACAACTGAAAGAGGAACTGAGCGCGGAGGAGACCGAGGTGTCGCATGTTGATGCCATGTCGGTGCATCTCCTTCACTAAATCAAACTCGGGAGACTCGAAGTAGTCCGCTTTCTGCGATAATTTGGCGGCAAAGAGGGGAATAACCTCCTTCACGAGGTATTTCGTCGCGTCTTCTACGCCCAGAGCTTGTTCTTGCCAGTCCGGAGTGCGGTACGTTAGCGAAGACAGCGCATCGGGTGATAGCGGCACTTTGAAGCTCCGTACAAGTTCCGGTCGAAGCTGCCGCCACATGATGCTCAGGCCCCGCGTTGACTGAAGCAGGTGCGGAGTGATGTCGGGGTCTTCGGGCGGCATCGCGCGTGAGAAATTAAGGACGACGAGCTGCTTCTGGCCGTTGAGGTAGCCGAGGACATCCGCCGCTGCGTTTAAGCTCTTGGACGTGAGGTCCTGGTACCCCCTGGCGCTGTGTCGACTGAGGTTCAACCGACTTGCAACACTCGCTAAGGCTTCGTCCAGCTCCTTGTTCTGGAACGTCACTGTCTTGCCGCGGTTGTCACTCCCCTGGACGAGTTGCTTCGAGACTCTCTGAATATCTCCAGACTCTGTCCACGCAACGACTTCAATGGGGATTTTCGCCGAGCACAAGACGCGAAATCCCTGGAAATCGACCGTACACTGCAATGGCACGCGGATGTTGGTGTAGGAACTGAGTTCTCGGAGGTAAATGGCCGAGTTGCGCACTTCGTGTCCACCGGCTTTTGCTGCGTATTCGTGGGAGCTCTCAAAGCGTCCGTGGTCGTCTGTGCAGATCTTGAAGAGGATGTCGTGGGCCTCGTATTTCAAGCGAGACGTGCTGCGGATGTTGTCTTTGCGTCCGTCGATCGGGGATTCCGTTACCGGGAGGATGGACTTGGCTCGCACGGGCAGGTAGAACTCGCGTACAAGCACTAGAGCCACTGCACTCGCAGTCTCGATGAAGTCCTGGCAGATCTGCAAGATCTCCGTGTACTTTGCTTGGATTTGGTCCGCGTCAGCTTCACCAAGGCGTAGTGCGTTCTGGAAGCGGTCACTCCATCGCGTGCGATGCGCAGGTAGAACGGGGTAGGACGCACTCACTCGAAGCTGTTTTCTCTCCGTCTCTAAGAGAGACCACTCGGCCTCTTTCCAGGCCTTCATGGCCTCCACGAGGCGGTTGTGCGCTTCTACCGCCTTCTTCCGACGCTGGTCCAGAATGTATCTCTCTTTTTGCAAGAACAAACTTCTAGGATCAACATGTTGCTGGTTATTGTCCCCATCTCCATCAGTTGCAGTGTCTTTCTCTTGATTCCCCTCCGCTTCGATCTCGCTCTTGTATCCCATGCGGATAAGTCGCTTTGACATGACTAGAGCGTTCTCATTCGCGAGTTTGTGGCTCTCCGCCTCCACCATTTGGTGCAAAATCTGCTCGTTCTCCAGTTGAATCGAGTTCAGCAGTTTCTGCGTCAAGCCAAACTCCAGATCACTCTCCGCAATATTAACCAGCGCAGGGGCGAGTTGGTTCGAGCCGCGGATTATCCGGAAATGGTCATACAGATCCGTCTCCATCGCCTCCATTTCGTACGATCCGTCGTGGCGACGGAATGCAGTCACGTAGTCGCAAATGTGGCGCTTTGAGGGCAATTCCTGCAGAAACTCAGCTAGTTTAAAGTCCGTCATCCCGTCACAAACTTGTTTAAGTCGGTCTTGTAGCATGGTTAGAGGGGGGTCCGGGAACGCCAGCGTCATCTGAAGTGACAGCTCATCGAGCGTAAACCCTGTGGAGTAAAGCTCCGGCGGGAATCGGCCGTGTACCATGTTCTCCTTCCTAGCGCTGGTTCGATACTGTCTGGCAGCTGAAGCCTCTCTATCCAGGAAATGCTTCTCCACTTCTTCGCCTGTGTCCGTCTCGGGGACTTCATGGGGTGGGTCACTAGCCTCATCTCGCTTCCGCTTCTTGTCTTCGGCTTTTTTCTTTGCTTTCTCTTCGTTCACGGCGATAGTTTCCAGCATGGAACCGACTGTACTTGACTCCTGTTTGGCGTGTACGAGCTGAGCCACCAAACCTTTGGCGATCTCCGGCTTCAAGTACTCGATCGCAGCGTGGGGGAGCTGCAACGCTTCTGTGTGTTTTAGATACCCAAGCTCCTCCTCCATCTCGCGGAACCGGTTCTCCACCTCCTTCTGCGCAGCTTGAACCGCTTCTTCCGTCATCAGAGAGAGCACTTGTTCACGGCTGAAGGCGTTGCCCTTGGTGCGCAGCTTCACCTGCTTCATGCGGATTTTCGCCTCAAACTTCATTTTATCCACGCTATGAGCGGGTTTCGCGTCTCGATCGCTCCACTCCCTCTCTACTGTTTGTCTTGCTTCCTCCAACGCGAGTCCACGCGCGTGGTAAAATGCCTGTTTCTCGGCTGCAAGTCGAGCGATTTGTCTGCCTTTCCGCGCTCTCCAAGTCGTCTGAAGACGTACAGCGGAGCGTAGAATCACCTCCATCCGATAATGCAGCAGGTTGCGGTACCCTCCATGATCCAACGGGACGACGTTAGACAGCAGCTTCGCTTGACGACGGGGGAGGTACTTGGAGTAGTCCGTCTTCAATGGGTCATTCTCCCCCATCGCCAACGCTCGTTCATGGATTATCGCCTTCTTCCATTGAGATAATTCCTCGCGTGGCTGAGTCATTTGCCGAGCGAGAGCGTACTTCAAGTCGTTGATGTTGATCAAACCCAGCCTGTACTGGTGAATCGCACTCATGTGTTGAACCACAAAGCGACTTAATTGCTGGTACTTCCAAGGATGCCCCAGTAACTCGCACAGATACTTGGAGCCCTCGATTGTCTCGACGCAGTACTTGTTGAACTCGTGCAGAGTCATCCCGTTCTTCTCGCGGGTTTCACTCGTGTCATCATCTTCACCTGTCGATACGCTATTTAACTTTAAGAACTCACGCTCAACGAATTCCTGTAAGAACTCTCGCGTCATAACCCGCGGTAGATGAACGTCTCCGATACGCGACAGCACGCTGAAAACTACGCGAATAACCTCCGCGAGAGACTCCGACCCCAAGACGCGAATCGTACTGCGCCCACTTGTCTGCGAGAATGCGTCAAAGAGGAACCGAATCTTGTCGGCCACAGAGCAACTCCCAGCGCCTAACAGCATCGCAATGGTGAGGTCGACTAACTGGAAGGCAAAGTCGCCACCTTTACCCGCATTCAGAGCGTTAAACAGCGGCACGAAGAGCTGCTCCTTGTCGAAAACATCTTGCGCGCGATCGAAGAGAAACTGCTCGTTCTCGTGAATTTTACAAATGCGCTCCAGTTCATTCTCCCGAGACTTGATTTGGTCTTCAGCGAACAGCACTTGGGAGCGGAGTTTGGCCTGGTGACCCGGCGCACGGAGCTTTGAGTTGGCCAGTGCCGCGTATTCCTCCTGTGCAATGGCCAGAGCCTTCTTCGCCGCGTGGATCTCCTCCTCGTACCTCTCCAGCTCATCTCCGTGGAATTTCAAGCGAGCGACGCCTAACGGTCTGTCAACGCATCGCACCGCTGCGACTTTATCCAGATAGACAGCACACTCTTGCTCTGCTGCTTTGATCCTCGTATCGATATTCTGCCTCTGGTGGCGGAGTTCCGCGTCTTCAAACGCCTCTTGGTCCTTCGTCTTCTTGTCCTGCGCCTCTTGTGTGAGGAAGAAGACGTCGTTCGGGTCTAGCTCCTTCTTGGCGCGTTCGAGGTCGGCCTGGCGCTTGGCCCAATGTTTCTCCCGCTTCACTTGGAGATCGCTCTCCTTCTGCGCCAGCGCCTGAAGCTTCCCCTTCTCGGAGGCTACAGTCGACTCTAATTTGTCCTTCTGGTACTTGACTTTCGTTGCGAAGACGGCGTCTTCCTTCGCTGTCGACGCAGTTTCGCTCTCGAGAGCCTCCTCCACGCGGTTCTTCTGCTTGTCGTAAGAGTAGCCGAAGAATATCGGACTGCGAGTGGCTGGGTCGAACAGCTCGGGGATTGTGCGCTGGATGATGCGAGGCTGCTTGAGGAGAGCTTCGACCTTAGCTCGTCCGTTTGGAGGCATTTGGTTGGACTCTTCTTTTGTGTGCTCAGCCAGTGATTCCTCACTTAGAGGATGTTTTTCGTTATCATCCCCTCCTTCATCTTCAACTGGAGTTGAATTAATCGGACGCACGGCCTCGTGTTCACTTCCGCTGTCTTCATCCGCTTCACTCACATCGCCGTCCTCTCCATCATCGTCAGCGGCTTTAGGAGCGCTCTCCGTAGCTTCAGCTGCAGCGTCAACGCCCTCCTCTCTCTCTTCTGGTTCACCTTTGTCGCTCCCATCGCCGCTGTCATCGTCTCCAGCCTCGCTGTCATCCCCACTGGCCGCTGAGCTGCTGGCGCTATCATCAGTATGGCCATCGATTTCATGTTTCGCAGGCGGCGGCAGCAGAATATCCCCTTTGTTGTACTCTTCTAGCGCAGATTTCGCTTGACCTTCGCGCTGCATGGCGTACCCTGAGCAAGCTGGGTGCCATTCCACACTGGACTGGATGCTCGCTTTTACCGTCTCCTGGAAATGAACGTGTGTGACAGCTTTGATAAACAGGGGCCAGTGTACGATTTCTCGTAGCCCCACACCTTCAATCGACCCAAGAAGATGCAGCTTCAGCTCGCGCAGGGCGACAACTTTCTCCCTCAGCTCCCTCTCCGTCTTCTTCTTCCTCGCAATAAATTCCTCTTCAGGTGCAGGTCCATCATCTTCAATCATTTCTTCCATGTCCAGCCCATCGGCAAGCCCCTCGTTCATCGGAATATCAGGAGCATCATCATTGTTCTTCACGGCCACACTTTCGATCTCCTCTTCCAGCTGCACCAGAAGCTGCTCCAGAACCACAACGTCTTTCGAGATCCGATCAACTTGTCGATGCACGTGTGAGGTATCCAACAGAATTATCGCTTGGTTCTTGTCGCTTCCTTCCTCTCCTTCCAACTGTTTCTTCTTCACCTTGACGAGGTCTGTGTACCAGCGCAGGAACTCGACGACTCGGATGAGATCCCAATGCCGGCAGAACGCCAACATCTGCGAGCGGTTGGCGACGTCCGCGCTCGTGCGACGCACACTGGCGATGGAGCTGCCAGCTGGTACGAGTTGGTTCTCGAGGAGAACGCCATTGTCGCTCTGGAATGCGTCGTGCTCCAGATACCTCGACAGTTCCGCGCCCATATCTCAAGGCGGATAAACCTACGGCCCGCGACGTACGGGTCCGCGACAAAAAGAACTTTACAATGAACACAGTATGAGTAATTGGGGGCAAAGGGATCGGTGCTGGGAAGTGATGCGGAGTGCTCGAACGTGGTGGCGAAAAGCTCAGCACTAAATGCATGCGTCCTTTCGATGGATACTTTCTCGGTGGTCGACAAGACTGGAGGTACAACATGCTTATTGATGCCACGGAATGTACACATCAAGGCACCAATCTTCGCGAGCATCGCAGCTTTGAAGTACTGTTCAAGTATCCACAGCTACAGTAGTTTTGCGGTGATTGGAGAAAGCAGCACTACATGTACTTAGTACAGTGTTAGGGCCACGCGGCAAAGCGGCACACAGAGGTACAACGTCATTTCATCCAGGGAATTTCACCTTGACGATCCGCCGACGGAAGATCGTGCATTCCGATGTGCTCGTTGAAGAAGTTGACCGACAGTCATCAATCAAGCCGGTCGAACAGATACCTCTTGTTTGCCCACCGCAGTCCTGATCTTATCAATTCAATGAATTGAATTGAATTCATGTCCAGTCAAGAGGCCTCGGAATGGGAGAATATTTGGTTTACTAATGTTACAATAGTGGACACGCGTCACCACGACAGCCGGCCAAGCTGCCCATGTCCATTGCCGCCACGTGCACTGTCAGCTTCCGCTGCTTGGCGACGCAACTATGCTGCACTTGGACTGCGCGCTGTTCGACTCCGTGGCGCCGCGCGGCTAGCGCGTCATGGTCTCCGTGTCGTCCGTCCACGTGCAGCAGCAGGAGGGGGGGCATCACAACACCTTCCATATTACATGTAGCACTGTAGGACACTAGTCTATTCCTTGTTGGCAGGACACTCGTCCGTTGGCTCTCGCCAGCGGACTTCGCGACGGGAAGGCCCGTCCCTCTCTCGCTTCGCTGCGCTACGGTCGGGGCCTGCCCCACCCCCTTACGCGAAGTCCTCGGCTCGGCCAGGCGCGTTGTCTAGGAAAAAATATCGAGTTGCAGCGCTCGCTACGCTCGATTGCGTAGACCCGACTCCGCCTGATCGGCGGGTGTTGGCGATCGGTGAATGCACCGAGCGAGGCTCGCGCTCGCGTTCGCTCGCCCTCACCCATTAACCTAACGTTAGCTTAGATGTTGTGCTGTTGGCTAAAGACGCATTAAAACGGCTATCGACTGTTTAGAAAGTTGCACATACGCTTGTATTCAACACGCATCGCACACAAAGGGACTTGGGACCTAACGCAACGCACTGGGAAGGCGTTTGCTCCCTCCCGCATACGTAGTGCACTTATGTATATAGGCACCACAGAAGCACATGCACACATTAGAATAGAGGTAAGCGGGCAGCAGACGGTCGTACGACATGACTGCAAAGCGTGCGTGCGGGCGCTTGCTTCCTACCCGGTAGATTCTGAAATGAGAGCTCATGCGAGCCAGTAGCTCCAAACATGAAATTCACGTCTGGAAAAATTACATTGCGTCAATGTTAGCGACCTTTTTTTGCTTTTGGTAAATTACGGTTGTAGTGGTGCTGGACCTGGTTGTCAGTGTTGCTTTAATGACTTCCGGTGATTAATGGTCACCGTCCGAATCTAGCCACTTCTCGTTTTCGACGGTATCGGATAGCCTCCACTCGACCCCCACGCTACAATGTTCTCGGTTCGTGCTCTGCTGATTGCTGCCACCGCTGCGCTCGTCGGCTCTGCTGCCGACAACGAGGCCGCGGAAGCTGCCAAGCTGCCTGTCTTCTTCCACGGTGCTACGGGCAACACCACCAACGGTGCCGTGATTGAGGCCAACCTGACTGCTGAAAGCCGCACGTACGTGGCCCTCGACTTCTGCATGAACGAGTGCTCCGTGAAAACGGCCCTGTCGGAGCAGGTGCAGATGGCCATCAAGCAGATCCAGGGCATTGTCGCCAAGGACACGGCCGCCTACGCGAATGGCTACCACTTCCTGGCCCACTCGCAGGGCGGCTCGGTGGCTCGCGGTGTCATCGAAGAGATGGACGACCACAACGTGCACTCGTTCATCTCCATGGCCGGCGACGACCAACGGCAACTTCTTCGGCCCGCAGGCTTCGGATGCTGTTCCGCTGCAGGTGCTGCTCAAGGCTCTGGGCCCCTACGCTGTCGACAAGGCTGACTTCGACTTTGCCAAGTATGAGACGGACTCGACCTCGTGGAAGGGCAAGTTCCAGCGTGACCAGGTTGAGTCGGTGACCACGGACGAGGACCTGCAGGGCAGGAGCTCCATCACCAACATCATCATGCCTCCCCTTGAGAAGGCCGCTCTGGCCAACTGGTTGACGTTCCTACCCAAGGTCAACAACCTCCAGGACTGTGGCACTGATGCCGCGTGCGCGGCCGACCAGAAGCGCCGCAAGGCCAACTTCTCCAAGCTCAAGGCCGCGCACTTCTTCGCGTCGCCGCAGGACGACGTCCAGGCCCCGTGGCAGACCTGCATCCTGGGCAAGTACTCGACTGTGGCCACCCTGGACGAGATCGAGACCAAGTTCGCCGACTTCACTATTGTCCCCATGAAGGAGACCGTCGAGTACACGGACGACCTGTACGGCCTCAAGACGCTGGACACGGCCGGCGCTCTCCACATCCACGAGGTGCCCGACGTGCCGCACAACTGCTGGCTGTTCGACTACACGTCGCTGGCCACCAAGGTGCTCTGCAAGCACAAACCTGTGTACGACGCCGAGATCTACCCCCTGCTGGTGTAAGGCTGCAGTATGGAGCCCACCGCCGCCGTCCTATAATCCTAGATCATCGAGCAATTGCTGTTTGACTTTTTCGATAACCACCTTGCCCATGTCCGCAATAGTCGACCACGCGTTCCAGTCGAAACTAAGTTAGGATTTGTACAAATTCTTCAGTGGCGGCACCGCTGCGCTGCTGAAGGCGCTACACTACAAAATAATTTAACCATAAAGCGATGAGGAAGTCGTGCGGCAAGAGCCCAAAGCTGCAAACTAGACAGCATTGCAGCCTGCGACGATGCAGGATGGATTGATACAGTGCGTGCGATACAAATCCACTTCAGGACTTAACTTTTGCTGCTCGGTGCTCGAGCTTTCGTACTCGTGTGTACTGCAGCACACCCGGGGGTAAATAATACTACGTATTAATATAATACATGTACAGTAGTACAAGATACCATCTTCTCCAGTGTTGATCATTCTTCCTCTCGGTGCATTGGAAGCAGCTTGACCAGGTAGGCGTGACCTGATGAATCGCGTGTTGAAGCTCACTCGCGCTCACTCACACTCCGTGATGGCATGCAACAGCCGTGTGCGGGGGCACGCGGATCCGCGTGTCACAATGGGCAATCCATTGTCTACAGTCGGCGCTTCAACGTGGCGCGGCACAGGCTGTGCCGGGGCTGTGCGGTACAGCCCCGGCTGTGCGGCACAGCCCCGGCTGGGAGATTGGGTTTCGGATCGGTTGTCGACGACTTGTCGAAGCGGCCGAGCTACCGGATTGAGATCGAGATCTCCGCGCTCTCTAGCTGCTTATCTTCCGAGGAAGAAGTGGCCGCTTGCCATTGCACATTTTGCACGGAAGCCCCTACTCCACTCCAGCAGTCCAGTCATGGTTTCGTTCCGCGCTCTGTTCGTCGCCGCCACCGCTGCGCTGGTCGGCTCCACCGCCGCCACCGAGGCTGCCGGCGCCAAGCTGCCCGTCTTCTTCTTCCACGGTGCCACGGGCAACAAGACCAACGGCGCCGAGATCGAGGCCAACCTCAAGGCCGAGGGCCGCACGTACGTGGCCCTCGACTTCTGCCAGAACGCGTGCTCGGTGCGTACGGCCCTGTCGACCCAGGTGCAGATGGCCATCAAGCAGATCCGCGGCATCGTGGCCGCGAGCCCCGCCACCTACGCCAACGGCTACCACTTCCTGGCCCACTCGCAGGGCGGCTCGGTGGCCCGTGGCGTGGTCGAGGAAATGGACGACCACAACGTACACTCGTACATCTCCATGGCCGGTGACGGCCATGGCAACTTCTTCGGCCCGCAGGCCTCGGACGCCGTGCCGCTCCAGGTGCTGCTGCAGGCCCTCGGCCCGTACGCCATCGACAAGGCCGACTTCGACTTCGCCAAGTACGCGGCCGACTCGACCTCGTGGAATGGCAAGTTCCAGAGCGACCTGATCCAGACGATCACCACGAACCAGGCGCTGCAGGGCAAGAGCTCCATCGCCAACATCATCACGCCCCCGCTGGCCGGCGCCGCGCTCAACAACTGGCTCGACAACGACCCGTTCCTGCCCAAGGTCAACAACCTGCAGAACTGCGGTGCCGACGCCAAGTGCAAGGCCGACCAGGCCCGCCGCAAGGCCAACTTCTCCAAGCTCAAGGCCGCGCACTTCTTCGCGTCGCCGCAGGACGACGTCCAGGCCCCGTGGCAGACCTGCATCCTGGGCAAGTACTCGACTGTGGCCACCCTGGACGAGATCGAGACCAAGTTCGCCGACTTCACTATTGTCCCCATGAAGGAGACCGTCGAGTACACGGACGACCTGTACGGCCTCAAGACGCTGGACACGGCCGGCGCTCTCCACATCCACGAGGTGCCCGACGTGCCGCACAACTGCTGGCTGTTCGACTACACGTCGCTGGCCACCAAGGTGCTCTGCAAGCACAAACCTGTGTACGACGCCGAGATCTACCCCCTGCTGGTGTAAGGCTGCAGTATGGAGCCCACCGCCGCCGTCCTATAATCCTAGATCATCGAGCAATTGCTGTTTGACTTTTTCGATAACCACCTTGCCCATGTCCGCAATAGTCGACCACGCGTTCCAGTCGAAACTAAGTTAGGATTTGTACAAATTCTTCAGTGGCGGCACCGCTGCGCTGCTGAAGGCGCTACACTACAAAATAATTTAACCATAAAGCGATGAGGAAGTCGTGCGGCAAGAGCCCAAAGCTGCAAACTAGACAGCATTGCAGCCTGCGACGATGCAGGATGGATTGATACAGTGCGTGCGATACAAATCCACTTCAGGACTTAACTTTTGCTGCTCGGTGCTCGAGCTTTCGTACTCGTGTGTACTGCAGCACACCCGGGGGTAAATAATACTACGTATTAATATAATACATGTACAGTAGTACAAGATACCATCTTCTCCAGTGGTGCTGGTGTAAGGCTGCAGTATGGAGCCCACCGCCGCCGTCCTATAATCCTAGATCATCGAGCAATTGCTGTTTGACTTTTTCGATAACCACCTTGCCCATGTCCGCAATAGTCGACCACGCGTTCCAGTCGAAACTAAGTTAGGATTTGTACAAATTCTTCAGTGGCGGCACCGCTGCGCTGCTGAAGGCGCTACACTACAAAATAATTTAACCATAAAGCGATGAGGAAGTCGTGCGGCAAGAGCCCAAAGCTGCAAACTAGACAGCATTGCAGCCTGCGACGATGCAGGATGGATTGATACAGTGCTTGCGATACAAATCCACTTCAGGACTTAACTTTTGCTGCTCGGTGCTTGAGCTTTCGTACTCGTGTGTACTGCAGCACACCCGGGGGTAAATAATACTACGTATTAATATAATACATGTACAGTAGTACAAGATACCATCTTCTCCAGTGTTGATCATTCTTCCTCTCGGTGCATTGGAAGCAGCTTGACCAGGAAGGCGTGACCTGATGAATCGCGTGTTGAAGCTCACTCGCGCTCACTCACACTCCGTGATGGCATGCAACAGCCGTGTGCGGGGGCACGCGGATCCGCGTGTCACAATGGGCAATCCATTGTCTACAGTCGGCGCTTCAACGTGGCGCGGCACAGGCTGTGCCGGGGCTGTGCGGTACAGCCCCGGCTGTGCGGCACAGCCCCGGCTGGGAGATTGGGTTTCGGATCGGTTGTCGACGACTTGTCGAAGCGGCCGAGCTACCGGATTGAGATCGAGATCTCCGCGCTCTCTAGCTGCTTATCTTCCGAGGAAGAAGTGGCCGCTTGCCATTGCACATTTTGCACGGAAGCCCCTACTCCACTCCAGCAGTCCAGTCATGGTTTCGTTCCGCGCTCTGTTCGTCGCCGCCACCGCTGCGCTGGTCGGCTCCACCGCCGCCACCGAGGCTGCCGGCGCCAAGCTGCCCGTCTTCTTCTTCCACGGTGCCACGGGCAACAAGACCAACGGCGCCGAGATCGAGGCCAACCTCAAGGCCGAGGGCCGCACGTACGTGGCCCTCGACTTCTGCCAGAACGCGTGCTCGGTGCGTACGGCCCTGTCGACCCAGGTGCAGATGGCCATCAAGCAGATCCGCGGCATCGTGGCCGCGAGCCCCGCCACCTACGCCAACGGCTACCACTTCCTGGCCCACTCGCAGGGCGGCTCGGTGGCCCGTGGCGTGGTCGAGGAAATGGACGACCACAACGTACACTCGTACATCTCCATGGCCGGTGACGGCCATGGCAACTTCTTCGGCCCGCAGGCCTCGGACGCCGTGCCGCTCCAGGTGCTGCTGCAGGCCCTCGGCCCGTACGCCATCGACAAGGCCGACTTCGACTTCGCCAAGTACGCGGCCGACTCGACCTCGTGGAATGGCAAGTTCCAGAGCGACCTGATCCAGACGATCACCACGAACCAGGCGCTGCAGGGCAAGAGCTCCATCGCCAACATCATCACGCCCCCGCTGGCCGGCGCCGCGCTCAACAACTGGCTCGACAACGACCCGTTCCTGCCCAAGGTCAACAACCTGCAGAACTGCGGTGCCGACGCCAAGTGCAAGGCCGACCAGGCCCGCCGCAAGGCCAACTTCTCCAAGCTCAAGGCCGCGCACTTCTTCGCCTCCCCGCAGGACGACATCCAGGCCCCGTGGCAGACCTGCATCCTGGGCAAGTACTCGACGGTGGGCTCCGTGGCCGAGGTCAACTCCAAGTTCAGCACGCTCAAGATCGTCGACATGAAGCAGACGGCCGAGTACACGGACGACCTGTACGGCCTCAAGACGCTGGACACGGCCGGCGCTCTCCACATCCACGAGGTGCCCGACGTGCCGCACAACTGCTGGCTGTTCGACTACACGTCGCTGGCCACCAAGGTGCTCTGCAAGCACAAACCTGTGTACGACGCCGAGATCTACCCCCTGCTGGTGTAAGGCTGCAGTATGGAGCCCACCGCCGCCGTCCTATAATCCTAGATCATCGAGCAATTGCTGTTTGACTTTTTCGATAACCACCTTGCCCATGTCCGCAATAGTCGACCACGCGTTCCAGTCGAAACTAAGTTAGGATTTGTACAAATTCTTCAGTGGCGGCACCGCTGCGCTGCTGAAGGCGCTACACTACAAAATAATTTAACCATAAAGCGATGAGGAAGTCGTGCGGCAAGAGCCCAAAGCTGCAAACTAGACAGCATTGCAGCCTGCGACGATGCAGGATGGATTGATACAGTGCTTGCGATACAAATCCACTTCAGGACTTAACTTTTGCTGCTCGGTGCTTGAGCTTTCGTACTCGTGTGTACTGCAGCACACCCGGGGGTAAATAATACTACGTATTAATATAATACATGTACAGTAGTACAAGATACCATCTTCTCCAGTGTTGATCATTCTTCCTCTCGGTGCATTGGAAGCAGCTTGACCAGGAAGGCGTGACCTGATGAATCGCGTGTTGAAGCTCACTCGCGCTCACTCACACTCCGTGATGGCATGCATCCATTCATGGTTTCGTTCCGCGCTCTGTTCGTCGCCGCCACCGCTGCGCTGGTCGGCTCCACCGCCGCCACCGAGGCTGCCGGCGCCAAGCTGCCCGTCTTCTTCTTCCACGGTGCCACGGGCAACAAGACCAACGGCGCCGAGATCGAGGCCAACCTCAAGGCCGAGGGCCGCACGTACGTGGCCCTCGACTTCTGCCAGAACGCGTGCTCGGTGCGTACGGCCCTGTCGACCCAGGTGCAGATGGCCATCAAGCAGATCCGCGGCATCGTGGCCGCGAGCCCCGCCACCTACGCCAACGGCTACCACTTCCTGGCCCACTCGCAGGGCGGCTCGGTGGCCCGTGGCGTGGTCGAGGAAATGGACGACCACAACGTACACTCGTACATCTCCATGGCCGGTGACGGCCATGGCAACTTCTTCGGCCCGCAGGCCTCGGACGCCGTGCCGCTCCAGGTGCTGCTGCAGGCCCTCGGCCCGTACGCCATCGACAAGGCCGACTTCGACTTCGCCAAGTACGCGGCCGACTCGACCTCGTGGAATGGCAAGTTCCAGAGCGACCTGATCCAGACGATCACCACGAACCAGGCGCTGCAGGGCAAGAGCTCCATCGCCAACATCATCACGCCCCCGCTGGCCGGCGCCGCGCTCAACAACTGGCTCGACAACGACCCGTTCCTGCCCAAGGTCAACAACCTGCAGAACTGCGGTGCCGACGCCAAGTGCAAGGCCGACCAGGCCCGCCGCAAGGCCAACTTCTCCAAGCTCAAGGCCGCGCACTTCTTCGCGTCGCCGCAGGACGACGTCCAGGCCCCGTGGCAGACCTGCATCCTGGGCAAATACTCGACTGTGGCCACCCTGGACGAGATCGAGACCAAGTTCGCCGACTTCACTATTGTCCCCATGAAGGAGACCGTCGAGTACACGGACGACCTGTACGGCCTCAAGACGCTGGACACGGCCGGCGCTCTCCACATCCACGAGGTGCCCGACGTGCCGCACAACTGCTGCCCGCCGAACATGACGCGCGCCTCCCGCGCGGAGAAGCCCAGAGCTGTCGCGCAGTCGCGGCGCTCGCACAGCGCGCGCTTCAGGTCGCCGACGGTGGTGAAGCGCGGGTCCACGTCCACGAACTCCGTCGACTGGTCGGGGAACACGCCCTTGACGTGCAGCAGGCCGCCGCGCACAGACGCGTTGACCACGGGCTCCAGCAGACGCGCGTCGTCTTCGGCTTCAACATCCTGCGGCTCGTTGTCTGTGCCCATGACGTCGTCGTCGTCGAGGCCGAACCTGGTGGAGGAGCCCGACGGGAGGCTCTCGGCCGCCGAGCTGTCGAGCGCCAGGCCCGACGCGCCTGCAGTGGGCGCATCGCCGAGAGACGCCAGAAGACTCAGCGACTGGTCCGCGCTGTCGATCAGGCGCTGCACCGCCGCGCTGCGCCGCGCGCTGGCGCCGCCGGAAGAGGAGCGTCCCGCCATCGAGTGGATGGATTCCAGAGTGAGGGGACCACTCAACAGTGATATCCGGACAGGGGTCACATTATCCGGATACATTTGTGAAAAATACATTTTATGGTGTGGTAACGTAAATTTATTTGTACAGTACTAGTCCAGTTCTAAATATTTAGGTCGTAGGGTCGCATACAATTTTGGAATGTGACTAAATCTAGGAAAAGTCTTATTAGAGTAAAGCTCCAATCTTTTCCTAAAAACTGGTACCGTAATACAGACAACGACTTACAAAGCCGGCAGACACAAAAAGCCGGCAGACGAAGTCAAGCAAAGCTTAACATGAGCAAACCAGCCAATCAGATTCAATCAAATGACTTCATCTTTGTATACCATCTGGTTTTGTGTACTTTATATGCTTTCTTGTGTACTTTATGCAACACACCGTGTGTTTTATGACAGTTTTACAGATTTGACGGGAGGGAATTTATCGTTGTTTTTATATAGGAGGATGGCATTAAGCATGCCGGCTTTGTAAGTCGTTGTCTGTACAGCACTCGATGAGACTTTTACTGAGATGATCATGTGTTTTGTTGCGTGGATGCCCTCGCTTTCACTCTAGGCCACACAACATAGAGGGCTAACAAAATTATAAAAACGAGAGGGAGATTCAAGAAAATGCAGCTGCTGTACAGTGCATGTTGTAAGGTTTGTAGGGCTATTTGTGGTCACTTATCAATTTGGGGACCCCCGCATATGAATCCGCAGCGCAAATTGTATCTCCGCGCGAATTCATTGCTGATCTGGTTGGTTTACATGCACGCAAACTCGCGTTTTTGCTTGGTTTGACTCCGCTCGAATGTTCAGCAGAGCGTTGCGCATCAATTGGGTCCTCGGGGACCGACCCGCGTGCTGACAGACAAGTGCCTACCTAGAACGTTCTTTTGCGACCCCGCCGTGTAATTTGCATGGGTATTGGTCCCTCCGTTAAGACGGGACCTTACTGACATGTACAATTCAGAAATTACACCCTACATAGAGCTGAGGTAATTTCACGGGCCTCTTCTCTCACTAACATACAATTATCGATGCGTTTCCTTCCAGCAGGTGTGGTTGCCTAGGGGCAGGATCACCGCTCAGTAACAGTAAGATACTTGCCTTCTGACTCATGCCAATTGTCCACTTGTGGGTTTGCTTCATTTTCATTGGTCGAGACGTTTTTGCGTATCAAGAGTTCAGAGCAGCCGAATTTACGACCACCTAACATGAGCCTGGCAGAGGACGCCGTTCTGCTGGACAAGTCCCCGTTCCCGCCGCTGCAGTTGTCGTACGAGGAGCAGCAGCACTGCCATGACGTGAGCCTCCAATTGCTGGAGCGAGTGCTGCGCAGCTACGACGAGCGACTGGCCGGAATCACGCCGCGGCACCACGCGAATCTCGACAGCGCGCGCTGGAAGCTCGAGAAGACGCAGGAGAATGCGTCAATGTACACGGAACGCATCCGCCACGTTCGGTCGGACCTCCATCTCCCCGACGACGTCTGGGAAGATCC